TTACCCCATTGTGTGATACGCATATAGTGTTACCACATTATGAACGAAAGATTTCACAAATGATTATTGCTTTGTCTCCGTAATGACACGGAAAACACAAGTATGACTCGAGTGGCCCAGCTCCAATTATCCTTACTTCAAACTGCATACAATTTGATCATCTTTCATACGTATGCAATCTGACCTTTGCGCGGGAGGCGTGCTCTGTCGTGTGTTATGCACGCTCGATGCAATTATCCTCTGAATGTATGTTGATACGTAATGTTGTTAACGTCTGGAGTAATCCTATTACATGCGTAGCAGGCGTGTCACATGTTTCAGTTACTGTATTGGATTAATTGTTGATAAGTTAGGCGATACCGCAGTTTCTCCGTATATATTTACTGTTATTAAACTCCTACAATTCCTGATTGGTTTACCACTAATTTACGAGGAAAATTTAAAAGCATTCTGATGTTATTAATGACATACAATCATGGCATTACGAGGTTAAATCTATGTAATGGTATCAATGGTATCAAAGATAATTTAAGCAAACATTTTTTTTTTCAATTCTATATATTTTTTTAAACACCTGTAAATTTAACTTCCAAAATTGATTCTTATAATTACTATATTTTTATTGTCATGATTGAAGATGTATTGTTCCTTGCTAATGTCAAAAAATAATTTAAAAATTTGAAACAAAGCCTGCTCATATTGCAATAGCATACAAATTATTAACTTGTGCATAAAAATTATTGAATTAAAAAATGTGTACCCTGATTTTTAAACCAAAAAATTATAATAAAAATAATCATTTTTCACTGTAAACTGATAGGTAGACATTGTTTAAATACACTAATTTCTATGTTCAAGTTGATACCTTTTTAAATGTTACTTCAAAATGGGTAAGTTAATTTCAAAAAAATATTTCTATGATTTGTTTTGGTATTTAGCATGGGACAATACATCTTTAATTCTCAAAAGGAAAATTATGCACAATAGAGTATGTACAAAATTTCCAATTATATCAGTAGATCAAAAACAATGTAGAATTAATGAGTAAAGTATACTAATCAAATGAAGTACAACCTGAATGAAAATAAGCCTTCGGTAATTTTTGAATGTGAAATCCATCAAGTAATGAATGTATACGTACTACATTCAAACAAGCATATTGAAAGAGATTGCAAGGAATTAATAATCGCATACAGCCCTACTTCGAAAGTAGCTCATATCGAGGAGAATAATTACAAAAGACTTGCAAGAATTATTCAAATGAATAGGTGAAGCTCGCATAAGTCAACAAATGAAAATTAATGTGCACGTCATTGAGACGTTGATTATGGGGATCTAACGTGGGGATCAGAAGACCATACTACTACGAAATCTATAGCTTAACCTTGTGTCTCGAAAATGAGAGCTAATGCTTTGTGAGCTGCGGTTTTTATTCAGTATTATATGGTTTGTGGCTTTTTTGCTATGGTTTTCCCCAATTTTCCATAGAAGCTACGAAATTAAGAACACTAAACTAGTTCATGATCAACATTAATACGATAATTACAGACTTCATGCATATATTATATTAATTGTGTACTATTTATGAAATGGCGTGTGCAATATATTTTCAGTGGTAGGGTTTCTGTTTGTCTAAATATAAATTTCCAGCTTATGTTTCCGTAATGTTAGCCAATTTTGATTTGATTTCAACTATATGTATTTGTGCAAGCTCTTGTAACACAGTTTTCTATGACAACTACTACGTCATCAAATTTAACCTCCAGTGTTCATTTCGTATCCCAAAACTTTTTTACATATCATGTGTAAAAAAAGTCGAACCTGTGGTACTGCATGCGGCACCGCACCTTGTCTGATTTGTGAGGAACCACAGCTACAAACAACCTAACGCCACCCACGTTTCAATGTGATGGCATTCGTTTGACATATTTGTGACAAGCGTGCAAAAAATCATTTGCAGAAGATAAAAATTTAAGGAATTGAATTTTTAAGCACGATATTTAATTATCAATAAACAGAATAAGAATAAGTATTAATGCATTTTGAAGGAAAGGTATAGTATTTTCTCAAATTCTAATAATTCAAAACACCAAAGTAAGCATTAATTATTGAATTACATTGGTTATATTATCTCAACAATACAGTAGTTTATAAATTTTTGTAGTCGGTAATCTTTTGTGACGCTCTCTCAAACTGCAGTATGGAATACAGATCGTAATGTAAAGTCAATTCTCATATTTCTGCTATTGTAGCTAAACAAATCATTTTCACTTAGGCCATAGTGTTAGTGACACATTCAACCCAGTTACCCTAGACATTTGTTTGCGGTACTACGCGGTACTGCGCAAAGGCCAGGGCCTTTTATTGATTTCACCATAAAACAATGCATACACGGAGTGTCTAATTTCGCACCAGCACACATACGCAGATATGTGCAGATCAGAATGTTTTACCTCACCAGATAAATGTATGTCACATATATTTCCATATGAATTCAGAAATGTATATACATATAAAAACTTCTAAGCTATTAAAATTCTGGATGGAAACTTGCGTAATCTTCTGAAAGACAGGAACAAGTCGCCTATTGGCAGTAAATAAGAAAATTGATGTTTAATGGTAGAATAAAGGGCTTCTAAAAGAAAACAAAATCAATAGTGTAATTAATATTAGAACAAAATAAGATTAGGAAAGTAAAAAATATAATATAGGAGAGGAAATGTTTGAAAAGATATGCAGTAATGATTACAGTACTATACATTCATCGTATATTTTATTGTGAGTGGAGAAAAAGTTAAAAATATAATTTATTAATGGCAAGATGCTTATCAAAAATTCACTAAAAAAATTGTTAAAGTGTTTCTGTATGATGAATGACATGATTTATTTTACCTGCAAAAAATTTAAATTGATACAGTTTATGATTGAAGCAGATGGTTGGCTATGGTTAATCACTATAGAACTTTCACTTAAAGAGCATTTAATAGTAAGTTTTACTTTGTTAATTATATCATCAATAAATTACATATTTGTTCAGTTAAATTATAAATATTATATGATTTGGATTATATTTTACTAAGCTACTTTTTGCTATCTAATATTTTGAGATTCCCCATGTGTGAAGTCAACCTCCCCACCCCCCAATCCCAAATCCTATGTTGACATAAATTTCATGTTCAAAGGGGGGGGGGGGCAGTTGGGCTTATACCATGGATTATGCTTTATATTTTCTACCTTTGACTATTCATATCTATTTATACTTCAGTAGATATCGAAGTAATTTCACATGTCAAAGATATTGACAAAAATATCATCCTGATCAAGAAAACTTATTAATTTTTTTCAATAAATTTTACTTATGTCTAGATTATCGTCGTCAATATTTTCAAAAGAATAAAAATCTGACATTTTTTTTTTGCAATTTTTATTTCCTATGCTCAGTAGCCTCCTACGCAATTTCCCTTTTTAGAAATTATTGCTTTTAAAGGTTTTTTTTATATTTTTGCTGTGTTTATAGATTATGAGATATTTCTGTCATGCAAGATTGATGAAATATGATTGGATATGTCAGATTTTGAATTGGCGATGTAATGATTCAATAGGGTTAAGATGTATACACAACTTAAAAAGATCACCATTGCCATCAATCATCTTATTATAACCCTTTCTATCAGTGTTTTGAATCATAACAGTTTCCAGAATATTCAAGTCATTTTCACCCAATGTCAAATTTGATTCATTTCATTGGCAATGAAAAGTCTCGGTAATTTGTACCTGTAGATGCTTTTTATATTCAGCTCACACATTCACTATCCTTGAATCGTCTTCGCACACGCTTCAAAGTTGGTCAGTACTTACATCCGTTATATGTATAATCCGTGACCACTCAACATCGTTCACACAAAAAAGGTCTCACAAAGACTTTTAGAAACCAGAACAATTATGGGAAAGAATTACATGTATATTTCTAGGTATTCAAATCTTTAAACAAAATGTATGCTAACAGGATTTTGTGTTGTTTGTGTTTCATTTCAGAGAAAAAGAGACTCTTAAATATGTATTCATTTAGGCATTTGGGCCAAGGTTTAGCAAACTTAATCACTGTCTTATTTCTCCAACTTTACATATGACACATATACTAAGCCTCATTTTGATATTTATGAGTGAAGTTGTTTTGGCCTTAAGCAATAATCCAACATGTTCGGACCCAGGACTCTGGGATTGGAAGGCAAGCATCTTATCCGCCAATGCTATAAAAATATAATTACTAAATATGATTTACGATTAAAGGTTTTATTAGCAAGGGGTAAGTTCATGAGCAAAGAGATGGACGATATATGTAAATATAAATTACTCTTATCCCAATCAGTAAAAATAAAACTATAATAATACTGCTTATTTGAAAATTTAATGGAAAAATAAATTTGAACACTAAAGGATAAATTTTGTTTACGAGATCATGTGCTGTAGTATTAGTACCAGCATTTTTAATGCTGTTGAGGATTACGAGGGACGCCTAATAAAGTGTATATTGTATAATGCAATGTAGATTGTTCTAGAAATTGATTATTCATTGGAAAGGTCATCAGTACTTGTTAGTATACCTTTTTAAAAATGCTTAGCTTCGTTTGACCTTGTTGTTTTATTACTCTGGGTGTCGCTGGTATTATCACAATTGATTATGAAACTAGCACATTGAATTTTAAAATTGTTTTTGATATTAATGGTATTCAAATTGAGGTTATATTGACTGAATTTGTTGTTGGTAAAGATTATACTTTTTTTTCATACTACCATTAATTTCTTTTAAAAATGATTTTTGAAATGTCATTACATTACATGAAATATTTATGATAATGATAAGAATGTTCAGCATATATTTTTTTTTCAAATCCTTTATTCATCTTTAAAAATATATAATGATAAAAATATTAAGAATATAGAATTAAAAAAAAAAAATCTTAATCATTTATTTTATATTATTTTTTGTGTCTGCACAGACTCGATGAGCACTATGATCGCTATGGATACCCAGGAATTCGACCTCATTTCCTGCCTATCTCGTCACATCACGGTCTACCCATGCATCACCCTTCCATGCACCATCTGCTCGGAGTTCGCCACCCAATGGATCTGTCGCTGCAATCATCTCACCTTCAAGCCGCCTCGATGGGCTCTCACCATCTACTAGCTATAGATAGGTTAGTAAATCAGATAAGAGATATTGATAATGGTGTTTGTGTTGTATGTAGCATGTAAATGATTGTTTGAAACATGGACACATGACCATTGTTGTACAACCGATTTTTAAAGACACAATAAGGATGTTTGACAATAAACTCTGGAAGGGTTAATGAGATACAGATTTTTATAATATTTAAAAACCCCCCATGGTTTTTTTTTTTCTCCGCAACCAGCCTTTAATAAAATGATTGCACATCAAGTATAAGCTTGTTGGGAAAAAGAAAGTTAGAAAAACAATTTAAAGACCATGTATAGGTTCTTATTGGCTAAGAAAAACAAAGTAAAGATCAGTTATAACCATAAACCAAGGGTAGTTCTTTCATGTTGGTGTCCATAAAGCAAGCTGTATGCAAAGCTTAAATAGATCAATTGGGACAGCCTTCTATGAGTACACTTTTTTAACAGCAAGCAACAGATTAAACAACTGTATTCATCAATGGTCTATTATAAATACACTAGTATCTACGTCATAAATATAGAGGCCAATCGTTTAATAATGTCTTTAGGTGAAAAACAGATTTTAAGTTAATTTTCTAGCACAAAAATGTTTTACCTATACATCATCTAGCCATGTATGTATATAATACATTTATATTTGAACACCTGGATAAACGTGGAGAACCTAATGTACACTTACTGCATAAACATTCAATTGTAATTTAATTTCATCTGTATGAATGTGTAGATACTGGCACCTGGTTACAGTCTCATGCTCTAGGCTAAATAGACTTATGAAAGCAGTGAGTATTGTGGATGATCTTCTAAAAGTATGTTTCATGTAATATATAGGTAGGCATATTTGCTATTGGCAAGCACATGATCCATTTCTAAATGTATAAATTGATGGGGTTGTTAGTTTAATGATTAGGGTGATTGGCTGTCAATTCCATGGTCCTGGGTTCTAATCCTTTAAAAAAATTAAAAAAAAACTAAAAACAGTAACCATAGAGTAACCTGTCAAGGAAATGGGAAGATTGAGTATTTTACACCATAAAAGGATTTAATGCATTTTAAGAGGTGTAGATTGCATTTAAGAAGAAGAATATAAATTATGAAAAACTCAGCTAAATTTGAACACTAGACTGCGATCGGACGCTTGTGCATCATCTCGTTACTTTCATAGGATCGCGCCTATAGATGACCGTCGGGCACTGTGAGTTCCCGGCTTAAGTTATTCTTAAATATAAATGCCAACATCAGAATCAACTATGGCAAAGGTATACAGGTGATAATTATACAATTATGGTTTATCCAAATAGTTAAATGAATACAGATTTTTGACTATTTAGAAACTGGAGGGAAAAAGGGGTGGTTATAACGACCATTTCCCCCCTCCCCCCATTTTTTTAAATATTCAAAAAGCTGTATCTTGTATATCGTCTCCAAGTTTTTTGTCGAACACTCTTTTTTGTGTCTTTAGAAAAATCACTTCTACAACATATAAATTTTTTTTTTCCCCTGGAGCCTGGCTTTAATAAATATTATTATAAAAATGATTAAAATATTTACTATGACTATAATTGACCAGTCCCTCCCTAGGGTTGATTTGATTGGTTCAATAAACAATTTAACTATCATAATTATGTACTTTTATTTTTCTCATTTGAAAACAGGGAAAAGATGCTCCTAGAACATAGAGAAAGGGAGAAGCTTGCGGAAGAAGTGCGACGGGAGGAACGTGAAAAGGAACGAGAAAGAGAGGAGAGAGAAACTGAGAGGATCCGTGCAGCAGCTGCTCATGAGCGACACAGACCGCGCTCACGAGATGAAGATCGTCATTATCATTCCTCAAAAGGTAATTTGGTTTTATTTACCGCGCGCCAGCAAGCAACTCGGCAATGATTATAGGGTGGAAATATATGACTTTCTGACGTTGTTATTTAGTATGATTTACATACTCCTATCATCAGACGTCATGCTTTAGCCATTTCTTTCTTTTTAATTATGGATGGTATTTTTTTCCTATTCTATTTAATCTATTACACACCAAATTTGGAATGGTTTTCTGCCGTTCAAACAAAACAGCAGTGACAACAATTAATTGCAGTGCCAGCCACTCTCTTTCATAGTTTTTTCATGGAAAATTTAATCATAATAAATATAATAGATTCTAAAGAGATAATTGAGATAATTTATATGAATTCGGCAGAGAAAGTGTATCTTAATTTGTTTTTAGACCCCTAAGCAAAGTCAAATTAAGAAAAAAATTAAAATAAAATTTTATTTGGAATTTGGTGCAGTTATACTTATTATAAGCTATGTAGTACATAACTTGTATCTGATCAAGAAATAGTCTTTATCGGAGATCATTCGTTAATAAGCACTTTCAAATGTGCCTTAAGATCCCCACAATACAAAGGTTTTGTACGTGTGAGCATTAACGAATGTCATATATTGGAGTAAAAATCGTAGATTTTCAATAGATGCCAGCATTGCAAGGCAAAATACTTACTAATGTGGTTAATCTTCCCGTTAACTGCCATTTCCATATTGTTGGACAGATGAAATTGAATCTGAATCTCTAATTTAATTCTTACACATTATAAACATTAAACATGATTGATATTATAAATTGGTTTATATTACTCAAATTCAGCTTCTGTATAATGATTGAACACTCTTTACATTGTTGCATATCATGAGATGTTTTGTATTGCATTTCATTCCTTGCCTTCCCATTAACATCAAATTCAATATTATATTTTTTAAGATACAAATCTCTAGGGTTAGAATTCATTTGGTCTTCCAAAGAATGTAAAGCCACACTTGTATTGCATTACATTTTGTAATTGTATCAATGTAAATAAGTGTTAAATCAAGGCAATTTGATGCTTTGTACCTTATAGCATGATATCCTGTTGAATGGAATATTGTTTTTGTCCGCCAGCTTATTTGCAAATTCCGATATTTTGTATGGTATTAGATTATTCTTCTTCTGCATTAAAATTTTTTTTTACACTACTTAATGTCGATCAAAAAGTAATCAGTCTTCATCAAAATTGCACTGGCTTAAAAAATAGTAATTGTCAAATAGGCGACAATCTAAGTAGCTGATCAGTGATTAATTCTATCAAATGATATATGATTAATTTTCTCATATATACATTTCATGTTAAAAATGTAAACATTCTTATTTCTCAAAACTTGATTAGTTGTACATAGCATCATATACATTTCAGTATTATTACTGTCCATTGGAATGTACTGTTAATGCAATTATGACATTAACTTTTTATTTGAAAATGTATGCTGCAAAGTGAATGCACTTCATTTTGACAAAAAAAAACTGTTGTATGCCCATATATAGTCATGATGTGCCTATATATGGTCATGGTGTGATGTCATCGTGACCGTATATAAGCATGTTGGATGTTTTTGTCTAATAAAATTTGATAATCTAGACAGGGCTTCAGAGCATGCATTGTTATTGTAATGAACTCATGAATATTCATCTTTTTGACAGAACCTCCTCCAGCGCATCTTAAGGAATCACATTCTAACCATCACAACCACCGTGTCTCGCATCACAACGCGGACATGAACGTCCACATGGCACATCAGCACCACCGTGTCAAGGAGGAAAAGTGGACCCCGAAGCCAGCTGATTACAGGAAGGAAATGACAGATGGGCACAGTGTATCCCCTCACTACAGAAACTCCTATTTAACAACACATGATGTAAGTCTTTACAAAAAACAAGCGTGGCTATAAAATTGAACCTATATGCTTCACTGCATGTTTTATAGTGCCTCCTGATTGGTGAGGTTACCATTTGCGCAACAACGTGAACCTGGACGGATTCACTCAATTTTTACCATCCTATGTATTTGCACAACATATTCATGATAAACTGCGACCAGAATTCAGATAACGGTGAGAACTGAAAATTCTCACATGCGCAGATGATTGTACGTAACATGATTACATTATAGGCTTTACCGTTGTCCCGCCAGTGAAAGGTCCTTTAATTCTGTAATTTTTGTTCGTTGGTTGGTTAGTCTTGATGTAATGATACAGACAATATATATTACAAAAAATTTTGACAACTGATACTAAAACTCTTGCCGCACAGTGGCTTATCTAGGAGTCTTGGAAATAGGGGAAGGCTCCCTGCTGGGGGTACAAAGTAAAGTGGAGGGGTGCTCGATGATTAAATGAGAAGGGCGCTAGCTCACAAAATATGGCAAAGTTAGTGAGAAGTACACCAGCTCACAAAATATGGCAGATATGCAATTTTTAACTGCTTGATCATAATGTTTTTGCTTCAGATATTTCCGGTGTGGAGTGACTAGGAGGGTGCAATTTTTAAAATTTTTTTTTGGTAGGCGGTGTGGGGACTGCATTGCCTGGCACACCCCCTAGATATGCTACTGTCTGTCCACTCTATTAGGTGTTATTTGTGACAAATGAGTTGATGATGTCATATCACATCCATACTGTATATGGGCAAAGCACAGATATTTGTCTCATAAAACGTATAATGATAGTGTGTCCAGAGAGCTTTTAGATAAGTTTTGAGTAATTTCCTTCACAGGCATATCCTATGCGATGCCCTACTTGAGGCTGTCCAGCGTTTTCCTTGCCTCTAGGGCCCCCAATATTAACCTAAATTATAGGTCGCCATTTGATTGTCATTAGAATATTAATAATCAAATTTTGATGTGTAAATAACAAATTTGTTCATCCTTGTAGTGTGCCAATAAATATATATGCTACAGAGTAATGCATATATGTGTATAAATATATATGTATATGTATAATAATTTTAGTATTGTTAATTTAAGTATTGCTTAAATGTTAATTATTGTAACATTTCTATATTTACATAGTGCAATTTCTCCAATATTTAAGATTTTGTTATTTTTTGTTTATTTTTTTAAAAATATATAAATAATTAAAACAAATGTAAATATTCATTTCATTTCAGTCTTTTAATGTTCGCTTCTTAATTTTTCAGTCTGTATCAAAAAATGACCATCGCACGTCAGACGAGAGGTCAATGCGTGAGCATTTGTTACGACAAGAGAGACACGTGGCAAAAAGGTATGCTTTTAATAGTTTACTGATAACCATCCTACATTCTATTCCCATATCAATTTGACGCTTCCCAGGCCTGTATAGCCAAGTGAAACCAGTCCTGCAGCGTGGTCTAGTTAATGAGACCCTGCTGTAGTCCAGTGAAACCATGTTTTAGTCTAGTGAGATCATACTGTAGTATAGTGAGACAATGCTGTATTCCAGTAAGACCATTCTTTAGACTAGTTTCAGTGTGAACATGCTGTAGTCTAGTGAGACCATGCTTTAGTCTAGTGAGACCATGATTTAGTCTGTTAAGATTATGCTTTAGCATAGTGAGATCATACCGTAGTATAGTAAGATAATGCTGAACTTTTGTGAGACCATTTGTTTGCCAGTGTGATCATGCTGTAGTCTAGTGAGACATTGTTGTAGTTCAGTGAGACCATGCTTTTGTCTAGTAGTGAGACCATGGTATATTCCAGTGAGACCATGCTTAAGCCTATTGAGATCATGCTGTAGTCTGTGAGACCATGCTATTCTTTATTCTAGGGAAATTATGCTTAAGTTTAGGAAGACCATGCTTAAGTCTAAAGAGACCTTGCTTATGGCTAAGGAGACCATGCTATAGTCCAGCAACACCCATAGCCTAGTTAAAAAGACCAGTAAAATAATATAGCCAAGAAATCTCATCTTCAATTCAGATGCTTATCATAATCAGTTTGTATCAATACTGCACCATGCTATACTAATGTAATAACACATTATTATGTCCCTATCATTTGCAAAATTATGTCGTCGTTTTACCAAAAAAAAAATAGAAAGGCTTGTATTTGATGCTTTGGATGGAACTGTTTAGCTGGGAATCTGTCATCACCCGATTTAAGTGTCCAAATTGAAACTCACAGTATGCTGAGAGCTGTAGGTCTGCAAGGGTTAACGATAGTTTTCCTGTGCTAACCTGCTAGCAACAGATGCAGTGAATCAGATATTGTCAAGGGGGACTGTTTCTAACATTAGACCCGTATCAACAATTTGTCCGCACATGGTCAAACAGCTAGGGTATTTGACGAATGATACGTAAGCGTATACTAAATTCGAAGAAGAATATTAATTTACTTGGAAAAAAGAAGTTAGATTTTGAAAATTCCATAATTTATCTTGATACTCATTAAAATATGGATGTATTTTTAAAGGGAAGAGTTTGATTAGATTATGTTGTTAACCTTTTACATCCCTCTTTTCCCCCTTTCATGGCAAAGTGATCACAAAACAGGATATTTGATGATAAAAGGTGTTTTAGGAATATCTTAAGTCAGGGATTAGTGACAACATTTTTCTGTTTAGATGTACTCTTGTAAATATTGTACTGTAGAATAAAATTACCAGTAGCTTTTATATGATAAATGTAGTTTAGACAAGAGTCTATCTGTAAGCCCACTGGAATTGAATGTAATATTGTGGCTTAATGGAGTGCAGAGATATTTAATCGTTTATTATATGGTGTGGATGAGCTACGTGTGTCCCCGCAGAGATATCAGCCATTGGTAGGCATTGCATAGGGCAATTGGTTTACCTAATGGGCAACACTGAAATGATTAGCAGAGACATGAACGCTAGATCCTGTGAGATTTGCTTCAACATTATTGTCAAAATACCAACAATTAAGTACAGATCGTAATGTATGTATTGACTGTTGGAAAGTGCTTGGCCATCATACCGTTAGAGGTCATACAAGTTGCTTTTTAACTTAAAATGTTTATATTAAAAAGAACATCATAATGTCAACTATATACATGATAACTGCTAATTTGAAAACCAGGACAAAATACCCGCTAATTTATACCTCGTTTAATTGAGGTTTCCTTTCGCTTGACTTCCCTGCTTGCATTTTTTTTTCTGTACATAATACTTTATCCCCAATTCCTGTTCATTATTCTTTACTTGTACTGTTGTTTTCCATTGTTTTTTTTTTTAATGAATTGTTCATTTCTTTTTAAAGTGGGCCCTTAATATCAGCATTGCTGAAAGGCTACCTACTTGATATATGGTGAAATTAATAATAGATAAATAATGTTATTCATTTTCTACTTTTGGTACCAATATATACTACCACTACTATTGCTACTGATACTACTCCTAATACTTCTACTACTATAGAAGTACCTATGCTGCTACTACTGGTTCTACTAGTACTACTGCAATTGCTATTACATTCTAATTCTGTAATTTTTTTAAATGTCTATTTTTTCCTCTCATTGTTATCTTCTTAAAAATATATTATTTGATACCATCTTCTTTTAGGCATGAACGTGAGAAGAGCAATTCAGAGCATATGCGGAAGGCTCCTCTTAGAGTTGATATACCAACCTCAAAGCCTCCACCTCTCATATCACCAAGTAAGCCTAACCACGAAGACATTTTACGACAAAAATTTTATGATCGTAGGACAGTTAATCATGTTCACCAGGTTGCTAATCAATATGAATACGACCGGTTACCGCCAAACAATATAGAACCATCCGCTCTTTCGAGCAAACGTGTGCAAAGCAATCATGAGAGTTTGTCTCGTAGCCCTCATATGAACAACTCCGAAGCAGAGAGGATAGTTACCCCAGCTGAAAAACCAAGGAATCCTTTGAAATTGGATCGCCCGAGTGTTGCAACCGATTACCCTTATGATTACCGTAAACAAAGGAACAGTGAATTTGTCCCGCAACCTATTAATAATTTTACACGTTCATGGATGATACCCAGTGATCATAATGTGATTAGTAAATTGGACTTAGAAGAAAAGAAGAGGCAGGAATCACGACAGATCGGTATCTACTTCACGAGCGACAGTGAGTCGGATAGCGAAGAAGATGTTGAGGATAAGAAGGAACGTTACAGAACAAAAATGGAGAAAATATCTTCTAAATCCTGCTTTCCATTGGATAGGTCAAAAGCTAAGATGAACTTATTTCAAACAGTTGGCCTTGTGACCCAAAGGAAAAAGGAAGGTAAGTGTATAGACAAATCAAATTTGAAAAGGGCCCTCTTTCTTGGCACTGCCATTGCTGGGTACCTTCTTAAGGTCCCCGAGTTCATGTCCATGTTCAGTAGTACAAAGTATTTAGAGTAGATAATGATGAAAATAACTGTATATCTTATTATTCCAATATATACATTTATTGTAGCAGATGATGTGCAAGAATTCCCGACCATTTCCCAGATATGGCGTCTGAAGAATAATCACTGTAAATGGATCGGTCATATGATAAATGAAAACTTTGATTAATTGATGTTACACTTAAGAACACATTTAAGAACATGTTACATATAAGAGTGCAGTAATTGATCGATCTACATGTCATGTTATTAACTAATACATTTGTAGAACTGCTTTTATCGATAATAAACTGATCACAATGGATGTAGACTTACTGCGAGTTGATAAACATCGATGTTAGCTTGCAGTAAGTTTAAATCCTTTTGTGCTTGGTTTATTATCAAAAAAAAAAGTTCTACAGCTATCATAGGCAAACCAGATGAAACTCTTCCAAGTATTAACCAATGCGCTGTTGTGATTTTATAGTCGCAGATTATGAAAATGAAGAGATTATAAATGAAAAAATGCTCTTCATATTTTGTTTACTGTGTTTACCTCTTCAGCACTTAAATCACAAAAGAGAATGAAAAGGAGGCAGCTTTTACAAGAGGATTGCTTATGCCCTGCCAAAAAAGCTAAAATAGAAGAGCCAAGACCCGGGCTCCCTTCACCGTTGCCCATCACAAATGCTGATTTTGAGCGGGAACCAGACTACAAGAGTAAATGCCAGTTCTTTAGCGGACTGTCACTAGAGGTGGTTCTACCCGAGAGGAGAAAAGGTTAGTTTTGATTGATTGGGAAAAAAACGACTGTATGAAAAAATCGTGACTGTCATATGATTCTCAAGGCTGTGAAGAAGTTAGGGTGTGGTGATATGTCAGTCATTTATCACAGGTGCGGGTGAGACGTCAATCATCCGTCACGGGCAAAGACAATGTTAACATTTTGATATGAAAGCACTTGGGATTTTTTTGTAATAATGTTGATATATTCTACAAGTGCCTTCCCATCTACAGTTCTGTCCAGACTATCAAATTTTCATGGACAAAAAAAACTTGTATGCCCATATATAGTCATGATATGTCTATATATGGTCATGATATGTCTATATATGGTCATGATGTGATGTCATCATGATCATATTTAGGCATATCGCATATTATTATCAAACAATAGTTGATAGGCTGGGCAGGGCTTCAAATCATTTCATACATTTTGAAGTTTTCTTTACAAGTTTGTCCAGCAATGTACGAAGAAACCACAAGTGTTTTTTTTTTTCAAGCTATGCTATTGAAGTGGTTTTTATGTATATTATTTTTTCTTTTAGCAATGGACAAGGAACAATCAATAATATTAGCATACAGGGCAAAGAGAAAAGAGAATGAAGATAAACAGAAGGAAAATGAACAGAACCTCAAATTAGAGGTTTCTAAAAAAAAAATGGAACCAGGTAAATGTTTTGTATTATACTGTATTACATACTTTTATCAGCTTGTATTGCAGATAAATTCAATCTTTAACATCGGCTTACTGTACCGATTTAGATGGAGATAGATTTGGTAATTTTGGTTTATTTTATTTTATTTATTAATTTTGGCATAAAATATACAAGATAAAAGAATAAAATAGATATATCGTCTATAGAAAATTTATTATCCTTTCTTCTATTCACCCTTTTTGTGCAACTTATTTACAAGTTTTATAAAGTTCATTTAAAAAATAAATTGGAGATAATTTACAAGCACTTAGTTTGCTTGATGTTATCAAATATCTGTCAAACTTCATTACTATCTTCATTCTTTAGATGTTAGGGTCAAGTAAGGGGCCAGGGTCTGATTCCTCTTAGTCAGTTATTTGTGTCCATGCTAGTTACCTCTTTCCACCCATGAGTTTTTTGGTGGGTGTTTTAAGCCAATGCACCGATTACTACCTACAACATTATTGGATGCTTCTAAGGAACTTGGCTATGTATTCCAGGTTTTTGATCCAATGACAAGGCCTTGACAGTATGTGCAATGACATGGTTTATAATCTAATTAATTTATATTTTTTTGACATACGTTATGAGGCTTCATGTGCTGAAACCAGTAACATTGTCAAAAACATGAAAATTGACTTTAATATATTCATATGTTCCACATTAAGCTTTAAAACGATGGATCATTTACTGAAATTGATTTACTATTGCCAAAGTTATTAGCAAAAGTATTAACGGCTTCTCTGTACGTACAGTAAGTATACAACACTGCCAAATTATTATGCTAATTCATTAGTTTAAAAATTAGCTAGAGTATGCTGATTTTTGGATGGCAAGCCTCATAGGTATGTTGCTCATTATGAATAAGTGTCACATGTTTTTCTATTTTTTGCTTCTTTTTAGTAGCAGCTGACGCTACACAAACAGTGCAATTAAATAAACTTGAATCCGAGGTTGATGGTCGTATATCAACCTCAAGCCCACACCGTGCCTCGGCGGCTAGTCCAGTGGTTTCTAATCCCAGCCCGCTTCTTCAAATAGCGCCACCAAGGGATCACAAGACCAGCCACAGTGTAGACAGCCAATATTCACAGGGTTTAATACATGGCAAAATGCCCCACGAGAAAGCTGTCGGTTCAATACGACACAAATCAAACAATGTTGTGCGAGAAATAAAGAAAGAGCCGTACGATACTGAGCCGAGAGCAACCTTAAATTACGGCACGGACCTGTTTAGACATTCACCCTCAATTACATCTGCAAAACCAAAGACTTTGGCTGAAAATTTTGTGCAAGAATTCCATCAGTCGGTATTACGGACTACCCAGGAAGCACTAGCAAACCAAAAGTCAGGTAATTGAACAATAGGTACCGACTTGCCATTGGGACGGATTGTGCAGTGTGCAATGATATACATCTACCATACTTGTTATATTTCAAGAGAGTGGCCATAACAGTAAAGCTGACTAGAAGAGGCCCTCATTACAATACAATCAATATACAGACATGAATATATAATTCGCTCATGTTGAGATGATTTTGTAATATATATCATTCAAATACTACAGTGAAACAACGAGTTGCACTCAAAACAGTTTACACTTGTTGGAAAAATTAAACTTAAACAACAAACTTCTCAAATACCCAATTAAAATGCTTCTTTATTAAAATTAAAAGATAAAAGCAAAACATTAAAACTAATAAAGTGCAACATACAGTATTGCTAAGGAGAATAACAATCTGTGGATTAAAAGAAAGTTATTGAATGAATTATGAAAAGATGAAATTTAGTAATATAACCATACGAAGTTCCATCAAATGCCTTATGTTGAGCATTTGTTCGAAACATAGTGTTTATTGTCGAGTAGAATCGTTGATGGTTGATTGATTGATTGAAGTTTTTTTAATGTTGATATATTCAATACTAGAATATAACACAAGATCTATAATCTACTTTAGGTCAGAATTCTGTAGTTTATCATCCAAGGGCAGAATCGCCCAAGACAAAAAGGCGGGAAACCGTAATCAACTTGTCCACACAGCAAGCGCCGTCATCTGCATCATCACAACAGGCAGAGAAACACGCTCAAAAGGAACAAGAGATGGATGTGTGTAGGAGTGAAGAGGCAAGCTTCAAATGGCCAGGCTTAGAAGTACTAATGGAAGCATACCGCAGACATATCAATGGTAGATTTGATATTTTTTAAATTCTATTTTTAATTGCATAAATTGAATTTGAATTTAATATAGTGTATGCATTTTTAAGTGAAAATTTTTTAACAACGATCATTGGAGTCTCTGTCTGTTATTCACTGAGATCATTGTACACAGGCATTGTACAAGGACCTCTGAGACATTAATTGTTGTTCCACCAAACCAAACACAGATAAAATGAAATGAACAATCTTTTAAAATTGTGGGTGGAACATTTCAAATAATATCCCTTTTTTCAACCCCATATAATATAACGTAATGATAATTGGATTACACCATTCAAGAATAATACTGCCGTGATCTGAGTAAAAGCGGTTGGCGCAATGATAGTGGCTCAGACTCCCAACCTTGAGGTCGGGGGTTTGAAACTCTTGCTGTGCAAGTCGCTTGTGTCCTTCGGCTAAGACACTATATCTACGTTTGTCTCTCTCCACCGTGGTGTATAAATAGGTACCGGCATATGCAGGGAAGGTTAAACAGACTGCAGTGTGGTCTGTTTAACCTGCCCCCCCCCCACTTGCACAATCTGGCCCAAACGCCAAGGATAGAGATGGGCACTCTGGCCTGATTCAGGTTTCAAATCTGATTTCAAAATATTCTTAAAACAGTGCAATCTGTTAACTCAAATTATACAAAATTGATATCCCAGACATCACATTTCTACTGGTAATGTTTTCTTGTTGGGGTTATCACATACAATTATTTATAATTTCTTGCTAATTGATAACAACCACTTGACTAAAAATTTACACTATACAGTTAAATAAAATTAAAATTCAATGTTTGGTTTATCATTATTATTTGTTTGGTTTTTTTTTAAATTTAATATAGAACACAATATGGAAAAAGCAATCCTATGCGAGCAGATTTCCAAACTAAAAGCTCACAACTCAGAGCTGATGAAGTTAGCAGGACAGGTTCAATCTAAAAAACAGGTAAGACTCCCTCTATTGAAATATTTACCACCACTTGACATTAGTCCAGTTTCATTAGTTAGAAAATATGTTGAAGGATGGGGAAAGAAAAATTTTAATAGAAATTACTTAGACATTCTCAATCAATCTCTTTCAAAATTTTCTTTCCCCATCCATAAACATATTTTCTATAATACTTGTCATACTTGAAATTTATTTTTTTTTTTTTTTTTTTTTTTTTTTCATTTCTTTTATTACTTTATTTTTTTTTTTTTTTTTTTTTTTTTTTTTTTTTTTTTTCATTGCTCTTACTACTATATGTTTGTTTCTATGTGGTGTGCTACAAAAATTTTGGTATAGTAAATTTATCTTTCTTAGTAGGTAACTAGAGTAGTATGATTGGTTGAATTGACTCAGGGCTAAACTACGATAGATCTTTTGAGGGCAAATATCAAACCATGTGAAGAATAAATTGAATTGCTTTATAAAGTGTGCTAAATATGAATATAAATAACTATTTATTATGTAATCAGTAAAAAAAAATAAGGTATAACAGAAATTTGAAAATAATTGTCCAAAATATAAAATTTTACTTTATTCACTCCTAAGACGTTAATGTAGTTGTTAAAATGCTCTTAAACAGGGTTAACTCTTTTTGTGTAATTTTGTAAATATATCACTTTTAAAACTTTAAAAAGTACTAAAACATTTTGGAAAATTTTGTTTGTTTTCCTTTGCTGCTCAAAATCCCTATTATCATGGGAGAGAGATTACCTCATTATGTTTCTCATTATTCAGAAATTTAAAGAAGAAATTAATGTATTGTTTAACTAAGAATTGTGTAAACTGACTTTTTTTAGTACCTTTAGCACTGACCAGTAAGGCGAGATTTTTTTATTCCTTGTTTCGCATACTTATTTTTTTAAGGATCATCGGGCAGAGGGCAAAATAAAAATAAAATTTATGTTTTCTTATTTAGCAAATAATTTTGCCAAAAACATCCAGACGGAGGAGAAAATAAAAATAAAATTTTATTGGTAAATGTACAATAGGATGGTTAAATGCTTCAAATTTATATAATTAGGAAGAAATATACATATCTTACCTTTGGAGATTTCAAAGCAGCAGAGGGCTGCTTTGATTTTTTCTGAAATTTCAACTTTTTCGTGACGGCGGGTGCGCTAATTGGTCAAAAATAAAATTTTATTTCTATTTGAAATCATCAATATTTGCAATTGGCGGGTTCACCTAACAAGGTATAAAAAAAGTCTCGCCTTTTCACACGGAATCGCACTCAGCACGATGCCATCTTGGTCCTACTCAGTTCTTGTGGAGTTCCTTACATAAGCCTATTTTATTAATTTAGTTTTAACATTTAGAGTATACGTAATTAATCCCGGGGGTAGCATACTCATCCATTTTTATTCCTTCGTTTTTTGGCCATATCAAAAATTGTACCTTTGTTTTGGATGAATGCAAAATATATGCTTAATGGTCTGTACACGCTATCCAGTTTTATGTGCATTGGTCCATATATGGGTGATATGGCGGCATCGTGCCCATACATGGGCAAATTAGAGATATTTTTCACAGAAAACTGATAATGTGGACAGAGTGTTAGAGGCCAGTGGTGGCACAAGCTGAGCTTAGGCGGCAGATTCCCCACCTGCATCACGCAAGCACGACCCCCAATTGTCAGACCGCACGATGAAAAATATTAATTTCTCGATTCAACAAAGATACCGAGATTGCCAATCTCAAATCTTGCAGTCTGAAAGTTCAACTTAGGGCCATCCTAAACCATAAAATCCCTCCCGTTGAACCCCTACCAGGTATTTTATTCCAGGACCTGACCAAGGCTCTCGATGTCCCCTTGGTTTGGACTCCCTGTCAGATTTGTCAGGACACGGAAAATATCTGGAGCCACTACTGTTTGAGATACTGTACCATGATGCTCGAGGCATCATCTTTTGTTGAGCAAAAGAAATATTTGTTAATCACAGAATCAAATTTGATATACCATGGGTGTGAGTCTGGTGCAAATTATGCAGTGGTTGAAAGATGGGTTTTTAATTTTGACATAGGACTATTAAACTAATTAGTTACACCCTCAGGAACCGGGCCACTTATCTCAACTTAAGCGAGATGCGTTATCCTTACTTAAACATTTAAATGACCAATCGATTTGATTTTTATGTAAGTGTTGACCAATCTGTAAGGTTGTTGCAGAAGTCTTAGCAAAAATTATCAATATGAGGTATCTTCAGCTTATGGATGTTCTTTGTACGAGTTATTATGAATATATTGATTAATTTATATATATTTATTTTGGGAAATTCCAAGAGTTTCCCCATTTTGTAAAATATGCATTGGCAATTTTCGTTTTTCTTCAATTAAAATTTATCGCAGTAAATTATTTTATTCTAAAGAAGTCACAGTTTATGTTACTGCGATTCAAAATAATTTAAAAAAAATACAAGTGCAGTTAATTTATCAATAATTTTTTGTCTGAATCAGAAGTATTAATTTAAGCTTAGCAATAGGCTTTTTTTTTTTCTTATAGTACTTGAAATGAAGTCATTCAGAATCTAATATAAATTTTGTACAAATAAATTCCTGGAATTTAATGTAAATGTTTTACTTAATTATGTTCGTAAACGTGATCATTGAACCGTGTAGTAACGTGTCGGTCATCACACTGTAAGATTCTCTGTTAGAACAGATTCTGCATCTCATATTTTGTCCACTCGGTTGACCACTACGAATCAGTTATGAGTGAAACAATTGTACAGCTTTCATCTAACTTGTATATGTTCAAGAGTTGTGTTCACTTTTTTGCACGGCACTGAGAGGTGCTCACGATGGAATAAAAAGAAAGGAAAATGTATGTTAGTTCAGTCCTGTTTTGTTTGTATGGAGCAAATGCACACTCTAGTAATCGATCATTAGTACATTCGTAACATTGGCAAAAATCAGGAAATACCGATTCACATTCGCACATATCATCTCGGCTTGAACTTTTGCAATTCCCTATTTGTTGGCATTCCATAGGAATTGCTCAAGCGTTTTCAACGCATTCAAAACACCGCTGCCCGTATATGTACCGTTGCTTGAAAGTATGAACTTCATTACCTGCCAATCAGTCAACCTGTAATATTTAAATTACTTGTTCTGACCTTTAAAGCTCTCCATCTGAATCCATCAAATTTGCGTTCATTGCTTTCCCGATACTCATTCTCGCCGCCTCCATTCATCCCTCTCACTAAATTCCGTACAAAAACCTTTGGTCAATATTCGTTCAATTATACTTCTGCCTTTTTCTGGAACCAGCTTCCAAATAAGATAACTTCTACCAACTCTATTTGCAACATTAAGTCACAGCTTAAGACCTATTTGTTTTCTGGTGGCTTTTCACATGCATTGCGCCTTTGATCTTGTTTGGAATTGGCGCCATATAAATTCAAGATATTATTATCATTATAATTTGCAGCAGAATGAGCCTTTCCATAGTGTCAATCAAACTAATCAACTGACCAATCAACTTACGCTGTCTCCCCACAAACACTTACATTATCATTTTGTGGGCCCTTAGCAACAGTAACCAAGGCGTTGGGTTTAAATGTAAGGTCCATTTTTAACAAGATTAATTACCAGTGGGGATCCCTTTGGTGGTGAATTGGGAGTACTGTAAATGCTTGAAATAAGCGCGATGGTGCTTTTAACATTTTTGGAGACTTCAGTGCTTGTAAAAAATATTGGCATGGTGCTTTCCATGCCCGTTCATGTTACCTATCTCACATATTCGCGTAGGTCCTATATCATCGTAAACAAACATTTATAAAGCAATGCTTGTCTTCATTGTGTTACTTATTCATTCTAACGCTATACATTGTATTTAAACCTGTTTCTCAAAGTTTCATTACACACAGGGTAGCATGACTCTCGATTGAGCCCCGCAGCGCTTATTCGAGAGCGGCATTTGCAAAAAAAAAATGATGTTTATTCAAGAGCAGCGCTTATTCGGGAGCAGCACTTAAATGAGCAATTAAGGTACACTTCTGCCATCATTAACATGCAAACAGGACTGATATCTCTCTTCAAAAGACAATTTTCTGTACCACTATACTTTACAGCAAATACATTCCTGGGTAAAAAATGGCCATTTTAATACAATTTAATGACTGTTCGATCTTCTTTTCGATAATTGTGATGATCCTTGAACCACACAGCTCCAATGACTTGAGCATCTATTCTTAGTCGGTGCACTATATCAATTTGAATTTCAGCCCTCTAGCTAAAACACAAGCAGAATGAAATCAGGAAACATTACAACATAAACCATTATTACAAAATATGTATGATTGGCTATTGGTTTAATCTTGATATCACATTTAATCTAATATACTGTATTGTAGCTTTGGATCAATCAATTATTTGTAAATGAACTTATAGCATTTGTCTACTCCACATACACATTTATATTCAGTCCTTGTAGGAACTGATGAATAATGTTGTAACTTCAGCATACCCCAATGGTGAACTCACCCAGATTTTATACTTCTGCTGTAATTCCAGCAAATAATGATAATAAAAGGGTAATTTATTAAGAAAAAACTTGGTGGACCAAAAAGCTTTTTTGTTGATTGGCCATAACACGATTCAGAACAGTATAAAAATGGCACAGGATTGCCCAATTTTTCCCTCTAGAGCAGTGTTACACAACCCCCCGGACCACTTGGTGGTCTTGCGTAAATTATTGGTGGTCTGTGAAACACTAAGGGTTCGTGGGTGGTCTGCCAAAGGTCGAGTGGTCTGCCAAAGGTCGAGTGGTCGGCCGTCGTATATGGCTTATAAATCCCCGAAAAACAACATACTACAGTAGAATCCCTATTAAGAGGACTGAAATTGTTCCCTTTAATAGGGGTTTTGGCACATAATTTAGTCATACTGTACAATAAGGACATCCACTTTAAGGATCAAGGACACAAATGTTAATAATGTTATCATTTTGCATAAAATATTATTTTGAAGATGTTGTAGTGATACTATTAAAACAATTAGTGATACAATAAAAAGAAGTGTCCCATTGGGGTAGGGGTTAGCTGTAGTGTCAAAAAGAAAATATTTCTCCTTGTTTCACAGAAATGTGGCCCCTTAATAGGGGTGTCCCCTGAATATGAATAGTGGTTTTTCAAAGGGGTTCTACTGATTTAATTTGACATTGCTTTCACACTTAGATGTGTCATGCTTATTATTGCAATACTGGGATTGGTTTATTGACTTTATTAATGTTTGCTCCTAAATTGAAATGTTACATGGGTCTAGAAGTATGCCGACAGCCTTGGCAGGTTAAGGAAATATTAGTGATATGTGTAGGCACAAGGTATAGCCATTAGAATTTTGAAAATGTCCAACTTACTTTTTTACCTTGTTTTTATTTTCTGTTGTCATCATTTGAAATTTTGCTTTGTAAATTGAGTTAATTTTCCAATGACACATCATTTGGTTTTTGCCTAACCCTCAGCGTTTAGGGCTACTTCATCAAGAGATTCATTGACTATAGTGCGCTCAAAAAGGTTACTCCAGATAAACGGTAGCAAAACTTGTTTCTTATACTTTATTCTATGTGGAATAACCACTGACATAATTGATGCTCTCTCCTATGTCAAAATCAAAACAAGATGAATGACTAAGTATTAGTATAATTATGTAGAGTGGTCTGCAAATTTGCTCATGGTGTAGGAAGTCGTCCCCTGGCCAAGAACTAGGGTGCTGTCTGGTGACTTGCCACCCCCTGGCATCTGCTAGAATTTATCAGACAGAATTTTCCCCTTGAATGTACATCTCACTACTACACAAATAACCTGGAAATATGTAAGTGCTATATAAAGACTGAAAGTTATTTTTACTGTAGCTTTATAACTCTATAAATAAAATTAAGACAGACAGGCTACATTCCTAGATCCAGTAGAATTATTTTACTTTCTTTTGGTAAAAAATAAGTGTAGTGCAGCAGGTGTTAGCCTCTCGGCTCTTATCAATAACTCAATTTCTGATTAACACATCATGTATTGTAGATAAAAAAAATGGAGATGAAGAACCATTTGCTTAGTAGAGAATTTGATGCCGTCAATCATATAGGAGGATTAAGAATTATTATCCTCGAACCAGGCAGGCTTTCACGTCCAAATTTCTACAGACGTCAACATATTCACTAGATATTATCTATAGCTGGCAGTTACAATCAAAGTTAATTGATGAAAAACACACACAATACTGACATGTGACCATTCACAAGTTTGGTTCAATATGCCATGTAGTTATTTCACATTGGAACTGGGTTGTTTTTAGTCATTTACACATTTGCAATAACCTTCAGACTATTTGTTTACCACCCTCTAGAGGGCAGAGACACTATTCTATGCTATATTACTGTATACACAAACGAGCAACTTTTATTTGAATGTCAAACTGTACACTTTAATTCTAAACTGACAAAGTAATAATCTGCTATTACATACATTAATTTTACAGTGTACAATTGACACCAATAAATACATTTTTAAAAATATTTGAGACTGTAGATGTTTCCCATAATTCCTCTATTTGATGATACTTAAGCAAGGCACTCGCTGTGCCTGACTACTGTCGTTAGCCGATGCGATTCTATGGAGAATGCAACGGCACAACGCGCGTAAAATGGATCGTGTTTAATGACCGTTCATTCAAACTGCCACTGCCAATCTGCAGATGGCTTTGCATCGTTTAAAGCTGTCTGGAAATGGAGTTGGATTCGTCCGATGGTCATACGACCATCAAAGGACGCTGTGAGTGCCAGGGTTCCTTGAAAAAAACATTTGAAATGAAGACATTCATCTTTCCACTGCAGCATGATGAAATTGATAGTACAGTCCAGAAAAGCCAAATCCCAGAGCAATATCCAGTTCCACGTAGATAGTAGAGCGGACAAATTATCGATAAGTCACAAATCAGTCATGAGCGCCACCTTGGGTATTTGACACCAACGTATGCATAAGGTCGAGGGCTTGCATAAGGAATGGTCGAATTGTGTTGGTCTCCATTAGCGACAAGTTATCAACCTGCAAAATAAAATATAGGTTATTGATTATTAGTTTAATAGTGACTTCTTACTTTTCATTTATTATATAGGTTGTTTTTATAATTTTTAATTCATAATTTATAATTTTATTTCCTCACATGAGATGGTAGTTAACAAAGGAAGATATTTCCTGTACTAGTATCAACTACCAAAGCATAGAATAATAATAACAGCAACAACAATAACAATAATAACAATAAAAATAATAATAATAATAATATTCATAATAATGATCTCAGAAATAAGTAAGATTATAATAAAATTATTCATAATAATGATCACAGAAATAAGTATAATAATCATAATATATTGATCATAACAAAAATAACAATGGTATAAAGGGTGAACAGTAATCAATTATTGATTTCTAAATGTCATTAAGAGATTTTTTCGGAATGTGGAGATAGATAGAGGTTGTTCCATAGCAAGGGGGTATTGTGAAAAATTGAAAAATGCAGTGCATTAGTGCGTGCCGGAGATATATGGAGTGTGGGATGTGGTTAGCGCGTATTAAAAGATAAGAAGGAGGTAACCGAAAAGTTAACATAGCCATGAATAATTTTGTAAATGAACATAAGGCAAAGGAAATTTCTTTTATTTGTAAGAGATAAGAGGTTAAGGTGAGTAAGGCGATCCGTGTATTGAATGTATCCGGTTTGGTGGGGGAATCGTGGAGTTTTTAAAAAATAGCGACTGAAGTTTCTTTGAACGGTTTATTTATTATAAGATTGAAAATGTTAATCTTATTATTGTAGTAGTGATTGAGTTATTGTTATTTATTCGTTAATGTTATTATATTAATATATAAATTTAATGTATTGTATAAGTATGAATTACTATGTCCATGTTAAATTAATCTTATCTATTAAAATTGTATATTTAAATAATATACTAATAGACACTGATAGCCGAATTTAAAAAGAACAAGAGAAAGAGGATGTTGGCCACAAGTGCATTTAATTAAATTAAGTGTGCGCACTGCTTTTGAAGTAATGCAACTTATATGTGCGTTCCATTTAAGGTCGAATGAAATGGTAACTCCAAGGTATTTGTGTGTGGTAACTAAGGACAGAGGGGTAAAATTTATGGTATAGTTTGTATGGACATTTTTCTTTCTAGTGATACACATGGTTTTACATTTGCTGCAGTTAAGGGTCATGCTATTAAAATTGTTCCATTGAAAAATGTTATTAAGGTCATTCTGGAGGGTGGTATGGTCATTAGCGCTTTGGATGGGTCTGTAGATAAGTGAGTCGTCTGCTGACAACTTTTTTATTAGTATGCAAGGTGTTCCCTACACCTTGCATATGATTACCAATAACGATCGTTCATTACCTTAAATGGTAATAAATTGGTCTTATTAATATTTGAGTTCTGTATCTTGTATATACTCGTAGTTAAGAATGGCAAGTTTTTTTGTTTACTTTCTGTTTGTACTGAAGATAGGTTGAAAAGTAAAACCCAAAACATGTTTACCATTGAATCTTTAGTTCTTTTCTTGAAATATGTTGTGTTAAGTTTGGGTTTGTGTTCATTATCAAATACTTTAGTTCAAAAGATCTGCCTATTTGTTTACTCAGGAAGTACGAGAACATATCCTACGTTTCATCAAAGCTGAACTGGATTATAATTTCTTACATAACATCTAACTTTGCTTTGCAGCACATGGTGATATCCACCACTTGATGACTTCTGGGAGAAAATTAATAACACAGTACAGTACTTGGAGGGCCAAAGTCTTTAATAGGGAGCGTTCGATTGCATGACGATGGTATAGGACATAGAACGTAATGACTCCGCTAAAAGTCATCTGCGCATACAAGAGCGTTAAGTTCACCTCATCGGGTAGATTCTGGAACGCAATCTCGCCAAATCTATGTATGCAGAGAACGAAGGACGCCAGGTAGGACGGTCACGCATGAGTGATTCCTTTCTAGCGTCGCATCGTCGCACAAATCGAAAGCTCCCTAATTATGAAGTTAAAAAAGATAATATATATTTTCAGGAGATGAGTTAGTTTCGGAGATTGTTGCTTTCTTGCGGGGGTGCGGAAAGCCGCCTAAATTCCCGCGAGACTTCTGCGACTTGCGGAAAACTTATTTCAACTCACCCTAGCATGAGTCTCCTGCTCTGCTACAAATTTATCAATACTGTGTCGGAGCTTAGCTGCCCTCAAATCCCAAATGTCCTTCACTAGTGTATGAACCTCATCTGCATTTGGAATATCGTCAGCAGCACTGAAAAATAATATAATCTATAGGTCAGCACGTTTCAGACAATTTCTCCAGGAAAAATTACTTCTTCGGCTTCTATTTCCTATAGTGTACTCAAAGCCGACTGTAATTGCTCAATGTTAAAATTAAAATTTATAATTTTCCAACATGACTAGAAAGCTTCTATGACAGGAACCATATTTGGTTTCAAGTGTAATGGTAAGCAATATCTATATCAAGCAGTACGTTCATACATAGTCTAATCTGAATGGCTGTGTTCAGTAAATCTATATATCTCTGCTGGAAACTTTCAATTTTATATTTTCCCATCAATATTTTTCTACAGTAATATAAAAGATCATTGCTTGGTATTACTGACTTTTAGAATGCATTTACTTCTCCAACCCACATGTGTATACTGACAGTTGATGTAATTAATCCAAACTAATGTACTGTCCCTAATGTTCAGTCGACAGAGCAACCAGGGAGCAGTAATAAATGTAATATTGAAATGACCACAGTCTTGAATTTGAATCCTGAAGGCACATGCAGGGTTTATTTAATGTACATATTAAAAAAATTTTAGTTAACAAATGCAATTATAAGATTTCCTAATAATTTGCATAACATGTTATTTTAAGGCCAAATAAAATTAATTGTTAATTTCACATCTGGGATTTGAAATTATTTTTGGTGAGGGAATTTATTTACTGTTTGCATTTTACTATACTAATCCCAGGAAACAGGATGGTAAATAGTAAAAACAGTTATTTTTTATAAAAGAAGAAGTGAAATGATTCTTTGTAATGTATTTCTGCCATAATGTTCCCACCTCGTCTTAGGCTTGACATCATTCTTTCCAGATAGTCATTATTTTTATTGTCAATGGAAAAATAGCAAACAGTAATTTTTTGAGTGCAGGGACATGAACTAGCAATTACTTTTATTTGGCCCAATGCAAATAAAAAAAAAACTGCATCAAAGTAACTTATCATTCATGAGTAATAGTAGGTATAGAAACAAAGAACATCTACAACAAGAAATTGATGATAAAGTCGATGTGAACGAATTAAGACGATTTAAAGAATCGTAAAAAGAAGAAATAATATTATTATATTTGGAGTTCCAGAAAATACTGAGGATAAGAATTGCGAAGAATTCGTTATTTAACTTATCAAACAGAACCTGAAAATAAAGGAACCTGTTCTAATAGAAAGAGCGCATCGCACTCCTACTTTGGGCCTGAGGCCCATACATGTAATTCTTTTAAGATACAGTAATCATACCAAAGTAGTTAGAGCGGCACAAAATTTGAAAACTAACCCAATTTTAAACACCAAAGTATACATTTCAGAAGTGTGCGGCAATTCTAAGAAAGGCACCTGGCAGGAAAGTATTTTTGAACTACCACTACCCAGCTGTGCTACGAGTTCTAGAACCAGACGGCATTATACAGCTAATTAAAGACTGATTTTGTTTTATACCGGAAGGGTTTGTTTCATATTGATACATTCATTTGTGTAGCCTCCACAAAACGCTTCAACTAAGGCAGATAGGATAATCATGAAGTATGTAATTTTTTTTTTTTTATGTTTTTTTTTAATTTCCTTTTTAATTTGTATGAAAGTCTGCTATCAGTTACAAAGAGACATGGTGTCATTACTTTGTGAGTACCTTAATAATTGGTGACCGATCACGCTGTTAAATGTTTCTTAAAAGTTAATGTCCTCATGTATTGCGGAGAGAATAAAATTAGTAATTCCATCTATTATTGGGGAACAACAAAGGGATTTTATGAGTAATAGACGCATTGGTGAAAATAGCTGAATAATGTACGATTTGATGTTGATAGCAGAGAAGGAAAAGCTTCCCAGTATGGTTCTATTAATTTTGAAAATCTTTGATAGTCTTTCTGATTTATTTATTATTTCCATCTTATCTCAAACAAATTAAATTTTGGTCCATCAATACAAAAATGGATTAACTTTTATGATTTTGTTATACAAAAAAAAAACTTCTCCTTCACGTACTGAATCAGCAAAATTTTTGTGACCTCCATATAGTGTGGGTTTGGCATCGGTTGAAATACAGCCGAGTCTTTTTCTTCTTGTTTGTGCTGCTCAAGTTTTTCTGAAAAGAAAGTATGCAAAATATAATTAATTTAACATAACATTTGGTGGTAGTTATTAACTATATTTTAAAATATAATAACCATTTGTTTACATTTGCTGATTAAATTCTACAAAATTCTCTTACCAATATCCATCCATTCTGGTGCTTGTATTCTACACTTTCTCCTTTGTTTTAGATTCATTGCCATCCACAGTGGTACACTAACTGGAAGTCCTGGATTGAAAGGTCCAATCTCTCCACCAATTAAGTACAACTTATCGTGGGAGAAATTAGGTACCACGCTAATCAATTCCTCCACAGCCTGAAACTCTACATCAGACACATCCATTGTAATGTTTTACTGTATGGTACTGCTGATGAAGCCTTTTGTCTGAATAATATTGCAAAGGACTGCGAAGAAAATTAAATATTCTCGATCTGATGACAGGCAAATTCTAAGCTCACAAATAGAAATGTTCAAAAATTAAAATAGCAACAAAATATAATATACAAAATGAGAAGAGGGCGTAGCCTAGGACTGACCAGGGAGTTTTTAGCCTGACTGACTGTTCCATTCGTTTTCCAAATTGAAAACAAACCCTCTTCACTCTGCGAATCGCACGCTGCTGGGCCGGCTGGAGACGATTGTTTCCGAATCCAAAGACCACCCAGTCCAAGGCTTAGGCCTAGCTAGCCAAACCTATTCTCTTCTTTTGAGCGATATCAGTCACCAAATATTTGAAAAAGAAAGCAATAATTCATTTATTATTAGTTATAAATTGTGCACAATCCTTTCTATGAACGCATTATGAAAGATGATTCTATATCAGCCTAGAGAGGCTTAGCCTTCTAAATCAATCCATCGACTCAAAAATAACCCGAGCGTCCATGTTTTTCTCTGTACTGTTGTTTATGTTTAATTTCGCGCGGAATTTCACATATTGGACCTGCGCACTGTAACAGGTAATCATAAATGAGCAACAATTATAATTCATTCTAATGTAAACTTGAAATAAAGTTTTCTTAATTTTAATTTGTGACAATTTAAATCAACACCTACCTTCCCATTTTTGTTATAAGGATTTTGAAAGCATATTTAAAGTTGAAAAGAAATTTTACTCAAAATTAGGCGTGAATAAGGCGGGGCGTGAGGCCAGGATTATCCTTCCCATCAACCAATGCGGCAGCCCGGACAATTTTGAAAATTCACAACAGTTGGCCTAGCTAGGGCCTGGTGAGTGTAATTTTATACAGTAACGTTTTTGTGAAAAGGATTGTTTTCAATCAATTCTGTTAAATTTTTAACTTTTTACAGCGAAAAATTGTGTTCAAAAGTGATCCATGATGGATCCTTTTACTGAGGTTTGAACATCATTTTCTGTATTACCTATGTGTGTTTTTCTAGATAAAATTTAATTTAGCTAGACTGTCCTGGCGGCAGTTTTAGTGGCACCTAGCTAGCCTAGGCCTTCTAGCCTATAGGCCTACTGCAGGGTGCGGTATTGAATCAAGTTGTTCTGGCTTGGGAAGAAAACGACTAAGCTAGGCCTATAGAGTCAATAAGATAGGGTATTTATTATTAGTAGCCTAGCTAGGGCCTAGTTAGTAGTAGTAAAAGTGAAATTCAATTAGGCTAGGCCAATTGAATTAAAAAAGGAAATAGCTGGGCCTCTAGCATGCAATACCATTAATTAATACTATTAAGCCTAGTGTAGGAGGCCGGAAGTTTAGAAATTTTCTTGTTTAACGTGTAAACGAAAAATTGTTCAAATTTTTCTGTAGCCAAGTACCAATTTTTTTTTTTTTTTTAAATTTATTATATTACAGAGACTTTTGGAACGTACACGTGCTAGAAAGGAGATACTGGCGAAAAAGATGAATGAGAATAGTGTATCACCAGTAAAACGAAGGGCGCCACTTGCAGAGAACTCACAAAATGTTTTTGAGCCAAAACAAGACTGCATGCACAAACCATGTGAGCACAGTTTTGGTGATTTTCTACTGTACTGACGATCATATTTCTGTTTACGTTATCCAAAAATTTGCTTTCCGTTACAAAAATTAAAAACACTCCTGAGTCCCAACCCTGTGTTCATGTTCTAAGATTTATTTCTTTAAAAATAGTAAATTCTATAAAACAATTTAGCTTCGGATAATTTTTTTAAAATTATATATATTATACATCTCTCCCAGTTAAAAAAGACACTCCAATTAAAGACCCCTCCAATTAAAGACGACCTCCAATTAATGACCACTTTTCTGTGGTCCCATATTAACAAGTCTTTTATCTTTATTATTTTAATTAGAGACCAAAGCTGCTAAAGACCACGGAATCCCCGGCCCCAATAGTGGTCTTTTATTGGAGGGTGACCCGTATTTCCTGTGATTCGTTCTTCGTCTTAAATGATCAATTTAAAAAAAAAAAACACCATTGCAAGCACACTACCCTCTCTCCCTCCTTCTATTTTTTTCTTTCCTTTTTTTGCCTTAGCAATCTTTCCCATTTAATTATCTAAATACTGTACTAAAATAATATATGGCCGCTAAAGTGGAATTTTAGTTAACATTTTTTTTTAAGACACACTAATTTTGACTTGCGCTTTTGCTTGGCTTTGCAAATGGAATTTTAAATAGTTAATTTTTAGAAGTACTCTTGTTTTGAATGAACATTTTCGTTTTAGTTTTATGTCTTTATTTTTATAATATACGTTAACTGTATATTTTTTTTTTTTTTTTGTGTCTGTAGCTTCACCCAACAAGACAGTACGTCAGGATATGAAGCCTGATACACCAGCTATTCAATCTGTTCGGTCACGCTTACACCACTTAGCACATGCTAGGAATGTATGGGATTCTGCAGGTAATTAAGATTAAATGTGTTGACATGCTCAGTTACTAACTGGCAAGGTCTCTTTTTAAAAAATATTTTTATAATCCAACAGGAAATAAACTATTATTAACTATTTAAAGGAATGTAAGAAATTTAATATTATGCCTATCCAATCTGTGAGAGCAATAAAAAAAAAATTTAATTGAAACAGATATGATTTGATAATATGTTGCAGCGGTCAAGCCAAATCATTCGTTTGTCGGAAATTGGATTTTATACATTATTATTATTTAGTAAGGTATTATCTTTTCAATGGTAAAAAAATGTGTACAATCCGACTTTTCGTTATAAAGTTGCAGAAGTTTAGATATACAGTACCTATGTTTGTAAAACACGTTTTCGATAAATTTATGTTCAAAGTTTACCGATGCGCTGGGAACACAGAGACGTTCCTTGTTCCACGGCATAGCTGAATAACCAACCTAGCAACATGGGCTAGATTTATACAACGTTCTCGAAACTTGGCCCAAGTAATATTACAACTCCCAGAGTTTTGTTTTGGGTCCCAAAACAGGATTGAAAGTTATTTGAGTTTGAATTTGCCCGAAAACATTGGTGATACATATCGTATGCCAATCAGCGATACTCGATGGGCAGTCTACGCTAAGCTAAAACCTAGGTTTTGAAATTGCACAATATAATCAAATTATTGTTTACTGATTTTTTGGTACTTGTAAAATGGATGAAAATTGTACAGAAATAAGAACAACTAGGCCTAGCTTCGCCCAAATGACACTATGTTTTTAATCGACTGTGGCATTGTGGGATCGAATTGTAACAGCGCGCATGCTCGGTGTTACTTCATTATGTAATGGACCAATCACAGAAATTATTTCAGCCTCGTCGTCAAAGAACAACAGAGTTGTTTACACTACTTAAAATCATTGTAATTGGTTAGATTAAAGATGTAACATGACACTTAACCAATGACATGAAAGCATATAAAATATCTTTACTTTGGTTCCAAATACGGAGCGCATCGCTTTTTAATGGAGATGTGTATAGCATTGGAAACATGCAACTAAATGGGTAAAAAAGGACCAAGTTTTTGACGTTTTACAGTGAGATACCCTCCGTAAATTGTATAAAAATACTCTTTTACTATTGAAAATTAGAAAAATGTCAAGGTAACATGGTTCTTAATGCCGTATTTTTAATTTTAAGTGATAAAATAGAATTCGATTTTCTTGGAAATTGTCAACATATAAAGCTATAGGCTTGATTTTCTCCAGTTGACGATCTCCGACAAGCGACTGATTTGGCTTGACCGCGTTACATACAGACTATTTACTAAACATGCACAAACCCTGCGTTCCTAATTTTCTAACTGTTTTCACTTGGTCTGGTATTTTACGTCACTTAAGCAAAATCTTATTATCATTTTTTTTTGTTGGTAAATTTAAAAAGTTTAGAATCACTTTAAACTGATAACTGATGATCCAAGAAATCTCATTTGTCACTGAAATTGTACTTAACATATTTATTTTGTGTATAATTTAGGTTTGGTTTGCCTATAAAATAGTCATTAGATAATTTTTGTTTAATCAGAATAAAGAACTAACCGCAATTACTTTGGGATTTTCAGATGCTGGAGAAGATGTCCCATCTCCTCATCGGAGCTGCAAGACACCAGAAATAAATATAGAAGCTTTGCCCCCTCAACCTGTGACCCGTAAAGCCCGATTTGCTGCCCTAGCAGCTGACATCAGCAGTTGGGTTGATGATACAGATCACCCTAAGCACAGACCAGAACAAGAAGTATGTACATGATAATGTTTATGATCACATTGAATAAAGTTGTCATTTTCTAGAATCTATATCAATTACATATATTTACTGGTACATTAAAAAGAAATATTTTGAATAATGATTCTCTGTTTTACAGCCTAAAAAGCCAACCCGGAAATTTTGTACAGAACCGAAAGCTGAAGCTCAACCAGTACCAGCACCAAGAAGTACCACACCAGTGAAGAAGTCTGCATCACCCTCTCCTAAGAAGAGGACTATGCCTGAAGACTCTACCTTATCTCCGAGGAAAAAGCAGACATCAGCACAGCCTTCACCAAAGAAGAGAAATATTAAAGCAAACTCACCATGCAAAAAGCAGTCCTCTGCTAAAGATTCTCCAAAGAAGAAGACAGTTGCATTTGCCGTCACTGGCCACCCAAATCCTGCCCCAAGGGCTGGCCTTCATATAGCCACATTGCGACAGGTCCCACATCCAGAACCTCAGGTCTGCAAGGCAGTGGAAAAGACTAAGACCCCAGCTGTAGAAAAACCTCAGTCCCGTGCCACGACCAACCAATACAAAGCCATTGGTAAATATACCTACGAAGTATCAAGGGATAGGCCAGCAACTTTGCCTGTTCCTAGGAAACCACCAAAGGAGACCACCAAAAGACAAGCTCCTGAGCCACCCAAGTGCACTGTCAAAACTTCTCTGAAGCAAGGTACCCCAACTAAGATCCAGCGTATGGTCGCTCAGATATCTGCACAAGAAAAATGCTTAAAGTCGCCAGAGAATGTTAGCGGTCATGTCGGTGAGATGGCAAAGACCATTCAATCTCGTCTGTTAGACCATCAGACCAGTTGGGAAAGGAACGAGATTAACACAAAAATACAGGTATGAGTTGTGTTATGAGAACCAATTGAAGGAATTATTTACTGTGAAGTAATAATTATAAAGCTAAACCCTATTATATATTACTTAATATAGCTTGCAGTTTAAATTTCTGTTTTAAGGTAATTTCCGAGTTAAGCCATCTGCAAATTTTGTTGTACCACATGCAAGGCTTACCTCAAATATTATCCTCAATTCCAGTTTTTCTTATTAGTGTCTGTAAATCAGAAAACACTATTTTAAATTATTTAATTTAAGATCATATTTTTTATGGTTTTTTTTTTTGTTTTTTTTCCATTATTCTCTAGCGCCTTGAGCACTACTGCAGTGGATATGTGCGCTTTATAAATCTTATTATTATAATTTTACTATAGACAACAAAGTCTTCTTGTATCTCCCACAGGCAGAAAGGAAGAAAGAGTTGGAGATAATCCGCAAACGATGGATGCAATCAAGTGGTAGCTCAAGAACAGATAGTTCTGATACCCAGGTTAGCAATTCAACTATACTAACTTCAACTATAAAAACATATTGTAATATATAGACTAGTATTGTCTTGTTTTATTTGAGTATTATATTGAAGAATAAATAGTTGCGATGAAATTAAAATTTTGCAATTTTTATTTAGGAAGAAGAAATTGATTCTAGCTGCTTTCTATATATAGTATAACTACCTTAAATGATCTAATAAGAGCCTCTCTTAAATGCCGTAAGCTCCAGACCAAACATAATATTATATTTTTCCGCTCCATGCCACTCTCATAAAGGCAAGACGTCATCAAACTACCTCCAACGTCCATAAATTTTAATTATTGAATAGTTTTTTTTCATGCATTAATCTAACCTTTGTACGATAATTTCTATCTATCATATGGTTTACAACTAGAACAATTGCTTGTTATTCTGTTTTACAGGAAGATGAAGTAGAGGAGATAGTTCAGTGTGAGCGAGTTGCCATGTCAACCACAGAGCCACCCACAAAGAAGCCGAAGCAGGAAGAGGTGGAAGCAGAAGAAGAAATGGAAGAAGATGAAGGTGAGAATATGTTGACAAAAGACATTGGTGACTTTTAGATTTGCTATTATGATTTAAAGTACAGTAAAACATCATGTTATGTACCCCTTTGGTAGCAAGGAGTAAATTGAAAATTTTGTAAACTAGATCAGATGTCAATTTCAACTATTTAGGTCTAGTGCGATCATGGTTAAGATGTGCGCTCATTCTGTCGACTCGCATTGGTATTTTGTTGTTCCGGGTAGGTTATACTGAACTGATTTACACTTGTAGCGATTATTAAAACGTACGCAATCTGACTTTTTTGACGTTATTACTTGGTCGATGATGACTTCATCAAGAGCAAAATCATTTGTAAAATCGAATGTTCCTAAAACAGATGTTTTACTTTTAAAAATCATGATTGCTAAAATTGTGACATTATTTTTGTTCTTTCTGACAATTTATAAAATGTGCTCTAATTCCTTATCTCTGATCTATACATTCACTCCAATTCACACATTGAAAAAAGGTCAGTTATATAGAAGGAAAGACTAATTTTGTTCACAGTTCATTTAAGATATTTATAAATGCATTTTGTATTATACTTATTGGAATTGTCAAGCAGTCAAAATACCAATTGGAAAAGCCAAATCAACATTGGTATCAGTTGTAAACCACAACTGTTATCTTATTGCTCAAACTTCAGACCATCAAAATAAGTTCTGGAAACTTGCTATTTATGTCAGTCTGAAGGTGTAAATGCATAACAAATAATGACTTTATTGAACTTTATTTCAGAAGTAAAAACTGCACATAATGCAGCTGAACAGGTGAAAGCTGAAATTGATATTAACGAAGAGAATGAAGAAGATAAGGAGGAAGATGACGACGAGGATGAGGAGGAAGGCAGTGAATTCGGGGATGATGATCTGAATGTGAGTGATGTACTTGGAGATATTGATGATATCCTGAATCAGGAGGAGCAAGCCATGGAGGAGGAGGAAGAGGCAAGGATTGCTGTTCAGGAAGTTGAGTCAATTAAACAAGAGGTCCAAGAACATATGCAGGTAAATTTACACTGGGGTGGTAGTTGTAGTTGGGTTCTGTATGGGTGTCGTTCAACTCGTACCCATGCCAACTCATACCCACTTTGGCGAACCCGTATCTAAATTCAGGTCAAAACTCGTGTTAACGTTGGTTGGCTATATCTGTTTGTACCTACTTTGGCGTAATAATAAAACAAAATCTAATATACTTCATACTACAGTATATACTGAATTCTACCAAAACAAAATATATTTTTGAAATACTTCTTAATTTGAACAAACTGCACCAGATTTAAGGGTCTATCTACGGCTTTGACACTACTCATTACTACTGTAATAGCGCCCTGTCATTATAGTTTCGACGCCTCAACGATCAGGAATTTATATATTTCATTTCTGCTAAATTAAAATCTTTTTTCTGGAATACTATAGTTAAGCATGATTGCAATCAAAATACTATAGTTAAACATGATTGCAATCAGAATAGATAATGTTTGAAATAAAAAGGTAGATCTTAAACCAAACTTGGGTACGTGCTAGCCAATAATGTGTACGAGTCAGCCAAAATTTAGGTACAAGTTGTTGGTACGAGTTGGCATGTGTATGAGTTAGCCTTTATTCACTGTATAATGATAATTTACGTTTATTAAATTTTTTTCATCCATTATGACAAATGAGAATAACAGCGAAAAAAATATTCTAAATTAACATCAATATTGGACAACACTATCAAATATTCTGTGACGATTATCTGTGATTGATGATGGGCAAATCTGTCATATGATCTGTGGGTAGACGAAGCTTAACCAAATCGAGTTCAGTAGTGGCAGAAAATGTCCAGATTCTGTCAACTAAAAACAACTCCACTTCTAAACCTCATAACAATAGACATGGCTAATAGCAACTTGGCTGAATGGATCAACAATGGAGAAAAAAAAAAAAGAAAAAAAATTAATTATTATGGATTAATGAAAATTTTTTTTTTTCATATCGTCAGGTTTTTAATTAATTCTACAGAATTGATATGAATGCATTTCCAAGTCATTTGCAATGTTGATCTTTGCTTGTGTTTAGTAGTATGTTACTTGTCATCACCAGTAGTATGTTGAACAACAACTTTGACTCCAACATGCACAACTGGTCCTGTGCTGTACCTACTATTTATGTTCCATACTGATAATATGGATTCTTGCTAATATTAATAACTAGATTATCACTGTGTTCTTGCTTTTTAAGTTGGGTTATTTCAAATTTATTTTAAATGCTTAAAAAAACTATCATTTTGAGCATGTGGATGATAAATTTTAGGAGCAAATTGATGAAGACGCAGAAGAAAAGGCAGAAGATGATGGTAATGCACCTAACACTCCGCCGAGAACGAAACCACTGACGTACAGTGTTAGCACATACCGCAACCAGCGCAAGAAGGCCATTACTTTACCACCAGTAGCCCGTACAGTAGTGATTAGGTCACCAGAAACAATAGAAGAAGAAGTGGAGGAAGAGGAACAGCCAACTACCCCAAAAGTCAAACATCTGAGTGTTAGGGAGAAGGTGAAAGTAAGTGTATTGCATAAATATTTTTTTCTCTTTCTCATTTTTAATTCCTTCATGTTATTGAATATAGGCACAAAATACCTGGATTTGAAATAGCAAATTAATACCTTTCTCTATTTTTTAAAGAGAGGTTAAATATTGCACTGGTAAACCATTCTCTGCAGTTTACTGAATAGTGTGTATAATAGTATGTAAGACATAGCCTGACATGCATTACTCAGGCAACTGTAGAGCACAGGTGGGCAAAATTCGGCCTGACAGCAATTGTGCAGTATGCCCACCAAATGAGAAAATTCCGTGTGCTGCCCTCTTACAGTCTTCCGTTGTCGTATATAAAAAGTAAAGAATTGAGCATAAAGTCGATGGAAGTTTTTACAAGCTTGAAACATGTAAGCTTCCATTGTGGTGTGTTAAATAGAAAAAAAAGTTCACTTTTGGCCCTAAAACCCATTTTTATGCCTAACCCTGCTGTAGAGAATGGTCTCCAAGTTTATTGATTAGTGTACATATGGCTTAGCCAATGGTACTAAATAATGAAATGGTTAATTTAATATTGTGGATAAATTTATTTAGTACTGTAATCAGTTGCATTTATTATGCATTTTATTATTAGAAGGAAAACAATATAGAATAAAAATGATATCCTGATGACTTCCATTTATTAAATTTAATAGTTTAATGATTTTTCTTTTCCACTTATGTACATGTAGGCCCTGAATGAAGAGGTGTCTGCCCAGCAGAGCATTATTCAGCAGACTAGCCAAGCCTTGAACTTAATCAATGCTAAGCCCGACTACAAAGGCACTATGGAAGAGGTTGAAGCTGAACGTCTACTGCTTATTGCAAGTAAGTAAACTTTCTCAACAATTGCAATTAAAAATAGACTATAATTTAGCATAATTAACTAAAATTTATTTTTATATAATACTTTGTAATCATAATTAGAGTATATTTTGAATTTATTCGGTAGCAACAACCCTATCTTTTGCCTAATGACACTTCATGGAGCTTGGCCTATTATTATACTTGTATAACAAATACCTACTTCATCACTGCTAAGGTGTGATATTCAGGATACCAAGGGTTAACAACCCTTTTGACTGTATTATGCTAAGCAGCTATGAACTAGCAGATTGGCCCACTGGGGTTCAAATTCAACATTGTTGCATGTCTAATGTTGGCTTTCGTCCACATTTATATTTAGAAAGTGTTTTGTTTCCTTAGCTCAGCGCCGTCTTGCTTGCTTGTCCGAGATCCAACATTTGAAGAATCAAGGAGGAACTCGTGCACAGAAGTCCTCGAGTGAAGACGATGGATTGGCACCATGCCAAGGTTCTGTCACAATACGAGACATCAGGCTCCCATTGAAGACTGAATACATCTTGGCTTTAACGTCTGGCCAAGGTATGTGTTTTGTTTTTTTTTAACTATTATCAGATAGGTTAAATTGAGTCAGTTGCTAAACATTGCTGTAAAAGGACACGGTTGGTTGTCTGCCAGGTTTGATTATAGCAGGTTATGGGTTCAGTTGTGACATAAACTGTATTTCTCTTGCTCATCTATTTTTATACCTCCATGCTCATACCAGTTCAGTTATGGGGTGGAGGGGAGGAATTCATTATTTAAGTATAAGTTATCAAAGTTTCTTACACTTTTTTGTTTTGCTTTTTATGCTACTATTTTGCGCACTTCAGCTTGACTTTAAAACATTGAGCCTCATTGTTAGTGTGGATCCAATAACCAAGAGATATTTAGATTGTAAAATGCACTACGGTAAATGACCGAATAAGAGTGATAAGTACTTATTTCAGAGTGGCACCATTTACAAATTTTTTATTCTTAAATTTGTACCATCGCTTATTTTGACACTGTAGCAAAAATTATATTTGGTCAGCATATACAGTAAAACTTGCCGAAGTCGATGTTATTTTACATGCCAAATTGTTATATTTTCCATTAATAATTTATCTGTAAGTTGAATTTTAACTAAGTCAAGCAATTTGTTAATGCCATTTTTGATTCGACTTAGGCAAGTTCACCTGCAGTTAACATTATTTTATTATGTTATCTTATTAATTCATTTTGTTTTGTGACTCTTTTTTGTTTAGATCGTCCTCATCATTTCTTCTTTGTGCTTGTTAAACATGGAGCTAAAGTGATCGCAAGTCAGCTACTGTCCACTAGAAAAGCATTGTCAGGAGATTGTTTGCCCTTCTCCAACATGATGGCCTTGTAAGTAAATATCAACATCATTTAGTGAGTTTAGAAATGTTTCTTTCTTGTTGAACGGTGCTAGATGTTTCAGTCGCTACCAGCGATTTTTTTTTTCAATTGACTGAAGGAGAAAAACTACAGTCAGACAGTCATAGTTTACAAATAGGGATTATCAAATTTATTCAGAAGAAATCGTAAAACAAATGGAATATTAGCATCACTAACTTTTCCGTATTATCTTTATTTATAGTAATGATCTGGATGGAAATTTCATGCTGGAAGTTGAGGTGTACCAGCTGAATCTAAATCGAATCAAACATGTTCCTGAGAAGGCGAAGGGCTTCTTTGCCAACATCACTCCAAAAAAACTAAAGACAGTAAGAGTAAGTATTTTATATTTGTACTTTATGATTAATTTCTACAATCACATTTCATATGTGGCAAAGAGAAGCCAAACCAGACACTTGTCACAAATCCTGTTTTTAATGGCCAAAATATGCTCGAATGTCAAAATGTTTGAAATTTATTTTATTGCACTAAACTAACCTTTATATATCTACATATCATGCTATGCTGTTATTTTCCCCATTTTCAATGTTGAAACTACAATTTTTAATGATTTACAGATGGTTACTGCCTGAGAAATGCCAAAAATCATCAACTTTGGAGGCTGATTTCTCAAATATTGTTCTTTAAACAGCTATATGTTTAAACTCCTGTAACTTCATAATGAAATGTCGGATCAAAATGATTCTTTTACCATTTTATAGCTGTTATTTTACTCTTTAACCCTGTATTAATAACTAAAAAATTATTTTTGCAAAGAGTGACTGGTTTGGCTTGCCTTTGCCACATATGGATTTATCATCTTATTCTAGAGTAGAAATAGATTGTCATGATATTTTGATAATAGTAAATTCTGCATTTGAATAAGCCATTTAGCTGATTATAACAGGTTTGTAATGGTACATGTAAGTGCCAATACATTATGAAACTTACATAAAACAAGTATACTTTATCAATTCATCTAAAATAAGATATGGAAAGGTAGCTACATAGGATCACCATATAAAATAGCAAAAGATCTAGTATATAAATATGGAAGGTTGCAGCAAATCAATCATATTTTTATCTCTTTTTTTTTCATTCCTTTTCTTGTAGCAGGGAGGACGAGCTCAGCATATGTCAAGTCCTGGTGGCCCAGGTGCAGTGCAGACCAGTAACTTTATGCTAGTTGGTTCTATTCGTTTGACTCTCCACAGCATTAATACAGAGCGATTCATGCTATCAAAGGTAGGAAAAACAATTTTCCTGAAATTGCTTTCCCTGAATGACATTAGTTTTGAGCACATGCAGAATGTTTATGGAAAAAAATAACATTTACAAGTTGAGTGGTTAGAATATCTTTTAGCAGAAGGGCAATGATATGCCAAACAGCAAAGTTTATCGCTTTTTTAATGCACAAGACAAACTCAAGATGCCTTACATAAACTAAGTCTCATTAGGAGGCTTAGTGAGTGGAGTGGTTTTGGTCATAAGAAAAAAAATCCTGTTTCATTGACAGGAATTGGACCCTGGGATTGGAAGGCGAGCATCTGTACCACCAAAGCTATACAACTCCTACAATTGGTTGGACCTTTCCAATGTGTCAATCAAACTTAACAACTGGCCAATCAAAACAGGGCTTTGTGGAAGCTTTGCGGGGCTTAGTAGGGAGAACCATTGTAGCCAATACTCGGGTTTAATTCCCGACAAATAGACCACACAAGAAAGGAACTGACCACCCTACCACATACATAATGCCCAGCCTCAGTTCAATGGGCTACTAACAGCACATTCACCTTTGTTTTCTTAATGAATGTCGGATTATCTTTAACGTTTGAACTTGGTAACAAATTTCCTGGTAATGTTCGCATTTCAGGTGCCATTTGGTGCTCCCATCGAAGGTAACATTCACCTACGCATGAGCTGTCACTCAGAGTCGCGCGTCATTCAACGTGGCTTCATCACAATGTTTGATGACATTAGCGGGTTTGGATCGTGGCATCGACGTTGGCTAGTACTAGCTGGAAGCAAGATTGCTTACTGGAAATACCCCGACGATGAGAAACGCAAGGTTGGTTTCACCAGTCCACTTTATTCTTCTTTTATATATTTTTAAATTATGTATTCTAGAATTGTGTGGGTAAGAAATGTGTAGGCCTGGTTCCTGCCAAATGCATCTTCAGACTGTATCTGTTAAGTTACAAAACGTTTCTATAGCACATAAATTTATCCTGTGTTTTTATTTTCAGGAGCCAATCAATGTGATTGATTTGAAGAAGTGTGTAACACGTGATGTGAGTTTGTTGACACGTCTCGTGTGTGCCAGACCAAACACGTTTGAGTTGATGACAAGACGAAGAGCAACAAACAGCGATAAGTCATCCCTGGTAGCCAGTCAGCATGGATCCACTGTCACCACAAAGTAGGTTGACATATTTCATTAGAATCCGAATATTATTATTAAACAGTTCATTACACATAATGTTTTATCAACCTCCTCTTTTGGGAGACCTAGTCACTCACACAATCATCAGTGTATTACACCCTACCAGGTATCCATTTACTCCCCCGTTTGAAGAGAGACAAATTGTGCATAGTGCCTTGACCAAGGATTAGTAGCATTGCTTGAATTTTTCCAATGGGGCCTAAGCTGTGGAGTCCATGGGCAAATCCAACTGGCACCTAGAAAAACTGAGCATATTTTCGACACTTCAAGCTGTTCCTAGATGTTTCAGCCCGTATTATGCCCAAAAATATATATTATTACCATATATATATATTTTCCCCCCCCCCCCCTTTTTTTTGGTCAGTGAGTACTTGGTTTATAATACATGGGCTTAAGCACCCGGCTGGCACCATCTCTGCAGCTGTATATTATGGAAATTGTCTTGCCCAAATCAACTGCAACCATAATTTACAAATGGGGATGTGATTTTTCTTAGTTAATTCAATTAATTGATCATTAATTATCATTTATTGTTTATTAATTTTTAGATTCTGGCTTTCTGCCGATAGTAAAGAGGAACGCGAAAAGTGGATTCACAAACTAAACAAGTCACTGCTGGACCTACGGACCTGGAACCGTGATGCAGCCAGACCTGTCGATCCACCCAAGCCCTCTGAAACAGATTTATAGAATCCATAAACAGTGGAAATTGTTTATTGAAATCAAATTTAAAGATAATTATTCTTCATGATTATAACTCATGAATAACAAACAATATGCATCCTTATAATAATTGATAAACAAAGGGTGCCTTTGTAAAATAAGTACATGTTGGGTGTTACCGTTTCTGAATTTTACTGTACCAGAACGTAAACGAGATACTTGATACATAGTTATGATATTAGCAACATTGAAAATTTCCCAGCAGCTCTTTTCTAGGTAAAGAACAGTATAATCATATTCAGCAAGTGTGTTACTAAAGAATATTCACACGCCTGCTTTTAAATTTGTTTGCAGTCTTTTAATGCATTTGCACTACATATTATATACAATTTAAAGTACAGTACCTGTATTATGATATTGAATAATCATTTAGTAACCTACTAACCAACGTTATTCAATTCTGTTTAGCTGTATGAAATATAATTTTGCTTAGGTATTTTATCCAAATTGTTTTAACCTAATTTTCAAAGCTGTTTTTGTTAGTAATTATTATACAGTATTCTATTGGTTAGCTAATGGTACAATAGTACAAATATTAGTACAGTATATTTAGGCAACAAAAATGTTTGGAATACATTTGATTGTTGCACATTTCTTCAATAAAATGTTCGCAAAGTAGTCCGTATTATGCAAATCTTTAGAATCATGGCAGATTGAAGTTAAAACTGCAATTTTATGATTTCTGTATCATCTACATGTATCTACTTACCATATTCTAGCAAAATTAGATGTAGTTTTCATATTTAGGCATGCAATATTTTTGAAACTAAAGTTTATTAGCGATAAACTGCTTTACATGTAATTCAAGTACTTAAAGATAAATGCGAAACATCTAGCAAGCTTATAGGAGGAGAAAGTTGAAAGGGGAAAGTTCAAAGTATCCGTATTAAGTTGTTGCAGGTTGACATTTTTGTAAATGCCTGAAGGAAAGCAGTAAGAACTACAACAGAAATCTGTGCAATACAATTGTAAGGAACAGAAAATTTTGAGTAGGCTTAGGTCTTGTGGAACACGGGGGAATGATGCATTGCAGAAAAGAGCAGTTGCTGTATGTTCTAAGAACTTAGGTTGATGTTGGTATGCGCTATTTGCTGTAAGATAAATTTGTACTGTAATATATTATTTAGCTGATCAGAATTTAATAAAATATTAGTCATTATGATCATCAAAGTCTCCAGCTTGTTTTATTTAAATTACAGTACAGTACAATTAATTAAACAGTGGTAATACAGTACAGTTAAGCTTGCCTATGTCGACTTTGCCTAACTCAAATAATTTCTAAGTCGATCTTATTTTACATGCCAAATTCTTGTTTTCCATTACTGTAATTAATCTGAAAGTTAAATTTTATTTAACAATTTTTCAATGCATTTTGGCAAGTTCAACTGTATTTCAAATATTGCAACAGTATTACAGTACTACTATACAGTATGTCATAAATATTCATTTCACCTGGTAATAAACAACTACCGCACACCTGCCTATGTGAACCATATGAAAACTGCAATATTTTTACCCTTTGTAGGTTGAATTTAGATGGCCAATTTGCTGTTTAACAGGTGGTGTGGGGGGAAACTGCCCCTCCCCTGACCGTTTTTACCGGGCTGACCAAGCCGTCGTACGGGGATGGGTAATAAGAGAAAAGAAAGACTGGGGAGAGGGAGGGAAAGAGAAGAGAAAAATAAAGACAAGAATAAAAAGGAAGATATAATGACCAGACTCACAACACCCTGCAACCCCTTCTCCACTTCAAAAACTGTCATAACTCCTTTCATCTATGCTGCCCGATGGCGTAACCACTGGGGGACAAGGGGAAAATATCTTAATCTTTGAAAAATCTTCCCCACCCCTTTATAAATGCCCTTTTCATCCCCTGAAAGTGCCTAAAAACCTCAAATTTCGTGCGCATTTCTTGTTAACATAGGCCAATTTTCTAAAAAAATTGCACATTTTAGGGAGTTTTGATCAATTCCAACGAAATTAGAATTAAAAACACCTCGGGACAAGAGGAAAATATCCATCTTTGGAAAATCTTTCCTCACCCCTTGACAAATGCATCCTCTGAAAGTGACAAGGGAGGGGATGGTCCACAGTATAAACTTTTCTGTGAATTCGAAGACAAATTTTTGATGTAGCCAGTTTGTGAAATAATTCAATTATGCACCTAACTAAATAAATCATTGTGTTATTTTGCTTTATATTCATTTTTTTCATACAAATACACTGTATTTTGTAAACGTCTGATAAGATTCTATTAGAAAATAGAAAAATCAATGAAATAATTTCTTTTCATTTGGGTAAATTAATTATCTTAATTTGGGTATCATTTGGGTAATTCCATTTCATTTGGCGACGAATTTCCGAACATGATACAGTCTGGCACAGTTTTCAAATTGTGCAAAGAAATCCTTGCAGTTACAGACATTCATAAATTCTGCAAACGTCTCAAAGTGCATGACATAAACACCGAAAGTGTATTGAATGGTTTATTTACTTTCATTGCTCTCTGCTTAGTACATTTGAAGACTTTGATAAGCTTTGATATCTACAATTTTGTTCAATAGTGCAAACTAATTCAAGACCGGTTTTAATGTAAGTAGAGGACAGTTTTTCAATGCGATTACTTTAGGCCTAGCCTAGGCCTAGGTGGCGAATGAATCGTTTTCCGAACTGGTAGGCAGTTGTCGAGCATGTTGGACTATTGTCTGACCAGTGAGTGATGATGCTGTGCCAGATCTTCGACGGAGGGGCTGAAGGCCCAACAGGGGTAACCTAGGCGAGCGAATCAAGCAAATAGGCCAGGGAAGGGGGACACTCAAACAACCTACAGATATTTAATATACAGTATAGTTTTTGTGAATTTTTATAGTTATTTGATAGCCATTGCCTTCTAGCTTCCCGGAATTTTGTGCCACTAGACACTTGCACGATTTTTATTCCCGGAATGGCACGCATCTTCGGCGTGCCAATGGTTAGGGAACGAGCGTGAAGAGTATGTTACGGGTGCAGGGGTGCATGCCATGTCGTAGAGAGAATTTTTGAAATGTGCATGCCACTTGCGTGAACCATGAGCACTGCACGAACTTGCTGCGAACACTGCGACGGTGCGTGTCAATGCGTCATGCTGTTGGTCTTGCTGCCTTTTCTTCTCTTCAATCAAGAAGTAATAGAACTGCAGCTGTCACTTTCTCTGTTCTGCAAAGCTCCGGGTCTCTGGCATTCAGCAAGTTGTATCGTCAGCGAGTCACTTAATGAATAATTTATGTGTGAAACCTTACGCTATACCGCCAAGCGGAACAACGTGTCACCAAAAATTGCCACGACGGTACAGTAGACGTGAACCAACAATGTGTGAACAATACTTATGCGTAAGGTAGTGCTATTGTGTGCCAATTATGCGGCCCATTTATGGCCGTGCACACATTGCGAAGACCGTGCATAGTTTATGCGTGTACAGTGCGCAAACAGGCTGTAAACACAGCTACATGCTCAGCTGCTTACCAGCCCGCTGCTTACCACCGAAATGGCACGGCATTGCGGAGACAAAAATCGTACAAGTGTCAGGGTAGCATTTACTCATCATAACATTGACAAGTTCAGTAAACCAGAGAGTTGTTGAGTAAACCCATTGGCAGATCTGGAGGGGGATCCTGACCCCCTTGGGCAAAAATTTAAAAAAAAAAACAATTTTTGTTACAATGGGAAAATTAGAAGTGGGAAAACTCATTTCCAGCCACCTAGGAATCAAAATGTTCCCGGGGAGGATCCTGACACCCCCCCCCCCTTTATTTTTGGGGTTCATCGATTCATGGATAAAAGAATACTCAATCTGTACCCACACAGGCCTATTTTACAGTACTGTAATAACTTTGAGAAAAATTTACCTGACCATTTTCAAAAGGGTAAACCTTGAATTTTGAAGAACTTCAAAGTCATTAAAGACACTTCAGAAGATGAGAAAGCTCATTTCCTGCCAGCTAGGAATCAAAATTTTCCCGAGGAGAACCCATACCCCCCCCGGGGAGGATCCTGACACCCCCCCCCCTTTCTCTTTGGGGTTCATTGATTCATTGAATCATTTTTAAGAGGGGGAAAACATTAAATGACATAAAGGTTTTCTTTTTTTGAAAACATTTTGATCCCCCTGTAAATTTCAACTCAGATCCCCCGGGTAACCCTGAGGGTCTGGATCTATCAAACTAGATATTGGCTTAGATTTATCAATATTGCTTAGCTTGAAAATTGCTTAAAATCTAAAAGTTGATTGTACGCATGCGCCATCCGTTTGATGATTAGTAGTGCATGTGTGATTAGTGCAGTGGCGGTTGTCGGATATATCTTCTGGGTGAGGGGGACTAAGCTGTCCAACAGGGATGGGCAGGGCTAATTTTGTTGGGGTGCACTACCAACCGAGGGCCATAGGTCCAAGCTGGGGAATTGTTGTGGAATTAGATTTGTTTTTTTTAATAGGGACTTCTGAATGGCTGAAAATGGCACTCTCATACTTGAAAAATACTTTTAAATGTAAAGTTGATGAAAGTACAAATTGGTTCTAGGCCTATAGATACTCTCACCCTCATCTCAATAAACATCAGTTTTCTCCCTAGTATCATGGGCATGGTAAGTGTTAAGCCCACCATAGTTGGGACTGGCACATGGTATTTTTAATAATTAGGAGGCATTGAAATGTCCTAAATTGCACTTTAAGACTATATAAAAGCAGGGAACAGTAATAAATAATTTTAATGTTCCCTGATAAAAGCATCATGGAAGATGTTCCAAGCATCATGGCTAACTGTCAAACGTCATGGAGGAAGTCCCAAGCATCATGGTAACATGATGCTTCAAGGGCCTGGAGAGAACACTGAACATGCATTTCATTTCATTTGGCCCATTTTGTGTTTTTTTACACGCATTTCATTTCATTTCGCCTATTGTTTAGTTATTTTGGTCTCACTGCCTGATGAGCTGTGGCCAGTGGGCGCTTGACCTGTCCGATGGGAGCTGGGTTAGTATAGCTCATGTCGTGAATGATTTAAGGCAACAACTCTTGTATTGTCTTATGTGTAGACACCAATCTCCAGTGTCAATTTTGATTAGTTTCCTAATTATGTTAACTACCTGTTCTGCAGTCTTTGATTTTTGTACCAGTGACCGTTGCTGTTTTTTTCGTATGGTAGCTCTCAGATTTTTAAGCAACTAGTCTGCCTGCAATTTAGGTTCGGAAATTGACCCACAAATAAAGCCTGATCAACAACCATGTGTCTACATTTGACCCTTAAATATGTTTTTCCGTTTAGCATTTATGGCAAAGACAAGCCAAACCAGTCACTCAGTCATGTTTCAGAGAAAAAGGCCAAAATATGCTGGAATGTCAAATTTTTTGAAATCTATTTTATTGCACTAAACCAACCTTTTATAATATCTGTGCATTATGCTATGTTTTTCCCCCATTTTCAATGTTAAAACAAAACTTCTTAAAGATTTTATGATAGTTTAGCTGCATGAGAAATGCCCGATATCATAAACTTTGAAGGCTGATTTCTCATAATTGTTCTTTAAAACGCTGTATAGTTAAACACTTGTAACTTCATAAGGAAATATCGGATTTTAATGATTTTTTTAAACCATTTTATAGCTCTTATTTTACTCTTTAACCCTGTATTAATAACTCAAAATCAATTTTTACGGCGGAGTGACTGGTTTGGCTTGTCTTTGCCACATGAACAACTTTCTCCATAAATTACTTTAAGAATTTCACAGAGACCAGGATTTGTCATATAAGTACCCTATGCAGCCCAATAGGTTTGCTGATGTATCAAAAGTACCCAACATTAATGTAATGTCATTAAGGTGCTGTTCTGAACATTCATTGATTTTTTTCACTGCCTTCCAATACAGCGGTTGATCGAATGTCACGATCAGGAGTTTGTGTTGCTTTGCTGATAATTTAGATATGAATGATAAAGTGGACATCACACAGTCATATCGCTTGGGCTCAGGTCAATAGTTGGAAAGAGGACTAAATTTCAATCTTCTTGTATTTCATATGATTGTGGATATGATGTGGTTTGGTTTGGTTTTCAAAAATCATTTGCATATAACCTGACCAGCTTGATACAGGATTCTTAAACAAAGAGGGATTTGCCAGGGCATGTTTACATT